AACAGGAGCATAGGGGGAGGGAGAGAAAAATAAAACAAGACGAAATCAGAGAGGGAGACAAACCATAAGAGACTCTTAATCATAGAAACAAACTGAGGGTTGCTGGAGGGGAAGGGGTTGGGGGAATGGGATAACTGGGTGGTGGGCATAAAGGAGGGCACGTGATATAATGAGCACTGGGTGTTGTATAAGACTGATGAATCACAGCTCTGCCTCTGAAACTAATAATATACTGTATGTTAATTGAATTTAAATTTTAAAAAATGAGAGTGCTGGGTGCTTTTTCTGTATCAGTTGAGATTAATCATACGGTATCTTTTTGTTCTTGAAGTCTCTCCACTGCTTTTTTCTCCATTAATGCTGTTGTTCTATAGTAGGCTTTTTTACTCTTAAAGTGAACCTTTTTACCTCAGAGAAATTTTTATTTTACTCTTCCTTGATTATTTCTTTCTCTTTGTTCTTTTCCTCTGGAAAGTCTAATAGATTGTTTTGGAACCTCTGTGTTGTTCATGTTTCTTAACTTTTCTTTCCTGCTTTGACTTTCTGTTTTATCTTCTGGGAGATTTGACATTGTCTTCCAGATGACTGATTCTGTATTCAGCTATGTTCATTTTATTATTTAGCTAATCTATTCAGTTTTCAAATTTTTGATAATCTGTTTTAAGTTTATTTTTCATGTTCTTTGCTGTTATTTTTATAGCTGTAGTATCCTTTGGCCCTCTTTGAACTTATGTTTTATTTTTAAAGTTGTTTTTATTGAATTATCTGTTTTCTCTTGGATCTTTTGTCTGTTCATGTTGGATCTTCCCTTTTGTGCTGTTGGTTTCTTGAAAACGTGTGTTTGGGGGCGCCTGGGTGGCTCAGTCAGTGAAGCGTCTGCCTTCAGCTCAGGTCATGATCCCAGGACCGAGTCCCGCTCGGGCTCCTTGCTCAGCGGGAAGCCTGCTTCTCCCTCTCCCTCTGCCCGCTGCTCTGCCTGCTTGTGCTTTCTCTCTCTCTGACAAATAAATAAAATCTTAAAAAAAAAAAAAAAGAAGAAAGAAAATGTGTGTTTGGCTTTAGTTGAATGAATAAGGGTGGTTAATAGAGATTGTTGGCATGCCTTTTCCTGTCCAAGTGGCATAGTGCTGCTTCCCAAGTAGTGGGAGTGCTGACTGTGAGCTCTGAGTGTCTGGTAAACTTCGGGCAGAATGTCAAAATAAGGAGGGCTTTGTTTTGATGAGCAAACTCTTTTATTCTTTGCAGTACATTCCATTTCTTTCTCCATTATATCAGTTGTGGAAGGCAGGGGTACTATACTTTCTTTGCTTTTGTCCTCAAGCCACAGTATTCATACCAGGTGTCATCCCTCCCCTGGACCCACTTCTGGTTCATTTTTAAATATTTACTTTTTTTTTTTTCAGCTTTATTTAAGACATCTGTTCTTGTGCTTTGTCCTGGGGTCAGAAGTGGTAGTATCCAGGCCCCTCAGTATGTAAGGGGGGATCAAGGGGACCTTTACTGGACCTTATAGGTTTTAAATTGTGTGGTAATTGTCACATATGTACTCCTGGTTTTTGCAAATAAAAGTCTCAGTGTAAAAGCTTTTCAGGAACTCCCTTGAAAAGGCCCAGCCTGTTTCACTGTTGATGTTTTGAGCAATGAATTTATTTCACTTTTTCTGTCAATTTGAAGCCAACTACTTGAATGTTTCTTAAAATTTAAAATTTTAAAATCTTTCTGATCCATGACTCTGTCTTGTTTCTTAGTGCTATTATGATTTCATCTTAAAAATATCTTTGCAGGGGCACCTGGGTGGCTCAGTTGTTAAGCGTCTGCCTTCAGCTCAGGTCAAAATCCCAGAGTCCTGGGATTATGAGTGGGATCATCAAAAGTTGGATGCTTGATGGTCTGAGCCACCCAGGTGCCCCAGTCATGTGCTTATTGGCTCTTATTAAAATTATAGTTCTAACAGTCATATTTGTTTAGAAATACACTTAAAAAAATTTTTTTAAAGATTTTATTTATTAGAGAGAATGAGAGAGAGGAGAGCACGAGAGGGAAGAGGGTCAGAGGGAGAAGCAGACTCCCCACCGAGCAGGGAGCCCGATGTGGGACTCGATTCCGGGACTCCAGGATCATGACCTGAGCCGAAGGCAGTCGCTTAACCAACTGAGCCACCCAGGCGCCCTAGAAATACACTTTAAAAGAAGAGCATTGTAAGAGCAATCTAATGATAACTGAAGGAGATAATGCTCCTATACTTCAGTATAACACTTGAGGTTCGTAATGATAACCCTTATTAACCATTAAGAAAAAAGAAAAAGGGCGCCTGGGTGGCTCAGTTGGTTAAGCAACTGCCTTCGGCTCAGGTCATGATCCTGGAGTCCCAGGATTGAGTCCCGCATCGGGCTCCCTGCTCAGCAGGGAGTCTGCTTCTCCCTCTGACCTTCTTCTTCCCTCTCATGCGCTCTCTCTACCATTCTCTCTCTCTCAATAAATAAATAAAAATCTTTAAAAAGAGAAAAAAAAAAAGCTTGGGGCGCCTGGGTGGCTCAGTCGTTAAGCGTCTGCCTTCGGCTCAAGTCATGGTCCCAGGGTCCTGGGACCGAGTCCCTCAATCAGGCTCCCTGCTCAGCAGGAAGCCTGCTTCTCCCTCCCACTCCCCCTGCTTGTGTTCCCTCTCTTGCTGTGTCTCTCTCTGACAAATAAATAATAAAATCTTTAAAAAAAAAAATAGCTTTGCTGCATCGTAGAAAGAGTAAAGAACATTTTCAGTTATTTGGACTTTGCTACAGCTGGCTCTAATCAGAGCTCTAGCACTCACAGGCTGTGCTTGTTGCTTGACCTCTTTGAGACTGATTTCGCATTTTTGACTTCTTTGACACCCACATCAATCTCCTCCCTTCCCCTTGTGTTCACGTATACATTCTCCCCCAGGAATGATCTGATCATCTACTCTCCTTGACTGCTTATTTCCTTCAGATCTTAACCCTGATACCACTTTCTGAGGAATTCATCCCTGACTCTAGATTAGATTATGTGTCCTGTTGTATACTCTTACAGCACTTATCCCAGTTGGAATTTTGTGTTTATTATATGATTATTTAAGCTTCTTTCAATAAATATTTACTGAGTGCTTAATAAATCTTTTCTGTGATTGTAAGCTTTATTAAGGCAGAGTAATGACTGGGCCTGTGGGTTTTATGTCTGTTTTACTTGGTCATTGTGTCCCTAACACCCAACATAGTGCTCAGACATAGGGAGTGAGCAGTTGTTGAACGAATAAATACAGATGGAGATAATACTGCCTACCCTACTTACAAAGCTGTTGTGAGCCTTCAGAATGATTGTGTGTATGAAGTGCTTATTAGCTTGCTTGTGGCCTGGTTGGGACAGTATCCCTAATTGTTAATGGGAGCTAGTCAGTCTGCTGTGGCTTGTGAGAGTGGTTCTTGTGGATACAGGTAGCCCTTAATTCATGCTCTCCCATTTACTAGCTCTCTGACCCTGCAGAGGTGCTTAATGTCTCTGATTTGCATTCTCTTTATAAATGGAAATAATAATAACTATCTTATAGGGTTTTGTAAGGATTGGCCTGTGACCATCACAGTGAAACAATTAGAGGACAGTAGTTACTCAGTAGGTAGTGGGCATAGCATTGGTCCTATGTTAATGAGTAAGAGAAATAGGGCACCTGGGTGGCTCAGTTGGTTAAGCGACTGCCTTCGGCTTGGGTCGTGGTCCCGGAGTCCTGGGATCAAGTCCCACATCGGGCTCCCAGCTCAACTGGGAGCCTGCTTCTCCCTCTGACCCTCTCCCCTCTCATGCTGTTTCTCACTCACTCTCTGTCTCTCAAATAAATAAATGAATAAATAAAATCTTTTAAAAAGAATAAGAGAAATAGGTAAGGAATATATAGGAAGTATCAGAAAATTCACATATGTGGAAACACTACATTCTCTGATAGATGGTAGCAGTAGATGTATTGCCATTAGCCCATAATCCTCAGAATATCCAATATTTCCTAATTATGTCTGTGATGGGTTGTATCATGTTAAGTTTAGTCTTGTTTTTAAGAGGACTTTGGGGGCGGTGCGCCTGGGTGGAACAGTCAGTTAAGTGTCTGACGTCGGCTCAGGTCATGATCTTGGGGTCCTGGGATCAGGCCCCACATTGGGTTCTGCTTGTCCCTCTCCCTCTGCCTCCATCTCGCGCATCCCCCTCCCATCATTCTGTCTCTCTCTCTCAAATAAATAAAATCTTAAAAAAGTAAAAGAACTTTTGGGAGTATGATTATATATTTCTAAATAGTTGAATTCTGTTGAGACTTAAGCCTTCTAAATTTTAAAATGCCTTAGAATGCCCTGTCACTTGTGTATAAAAAGTTATGATCATCCAAGTGACAGTGTTGGAAATCATCCTGGATTTTTGGACGACTGTGTGCTCGTGGATAATGTGTGTGGATTTAGAAGATTATTCTGAATAGTAGTTCACAATTCTTTCTGCCCAGAGTCCCAGGCATCCCCTGTGCATTGGATGCTTCACCAGCCTTTTCTGACAAAGGCGTGTTGCCATATAAGTGAAAAGGACCTGTTATTACAGGAATAACTTTTAATTTTCTCTAATTTACATATTTAAAAATTCGTTTGGGCACATTTGATACTTCAGACTATTTACAGGGACATGATCCATGCTATCATGTTAAACCTTGCTTCTCATTTAAATTGTTTTACTTTCATCTTGGCTGTATGGCCCTGACTTCTGACTTTCATCAGAAGGAGTTTGTTTTATATAATTGTTTGCATTCATACAAGCGTTTGTGGAGGGGGATGCTTGGCTGGCTCAGTTGGTGGAACATGAGACTCTTGATCCCAGGTTTGTGAGTTCGAGCCCCACATTGGGTATAGAGATAACTTTAAAAAATAATAATAAAATCTAAAAAACAAAACGAAACAGCAAATGTCTATGGAGAAAGATACAAAACTTTCTAGTAATTGGTCGATATACCTTTATTACAGGCTCAGCAAAACAGTCCCTCCTCTACGGGATCTGGCAACACAGAGCATTCCAGCAGCTCCCAAAAACAGATCTCCATCCAGCACAGACAGACCCAGGTAGGTCAGTGATCAATATACAGAGGAAAAGATGTGCTTAGGAATAAATGCTAACCACATATAAAATCTGTGGGTCCTCTCTTTGTCTTTCCTTTATTTCTCTGACTTTACCTCATTATTTGTGTGTATTTTACTCAGAACTTGTATTTTGAGTATTAAAGTCTTTTGGAAGGTGCTTTAACTTTTTGAGGTGTTTCTTTACCATTCTGGTGTGTTGCAGAGAAAAGCACTTACTTTGGAGACCTCTAGGCCGGGGTTCAAATCCTGGCTCTACAACTTACACTATCTTTTTGGGCCTCGGTTCTTGAATACAAATCATCTGTAAAATGTGTTTGATTCTAGTTCTCTCAGACAGTGTATGCAAAATGCTTATTAGGGCAGTCCTTTTAATACACTTCAGTGAATGTTAATTCCCTACTTTATGAAAGTAGTTAATTTATTCCTTGTACCTGCTTATTTGACAAGACCTAGCTAGACTCCTTTAACATGTGGCACACCAACATAATTGCCTCCATAAAGAGTTTTCAGAAACTCTTTAATTTAGGGAATGTTGTGAACATTCAAAGTTAGTATCTGAAAAGGATAGTGGATACATCCTCCATTCTGTAGTGTTGAGCTAGCCAAATAGTACACTGTGTTTTCTTGAAGCCTCTTGGGAGTGTGTTAGCTTCAAGACAAGATGCTTGGCAATTTAAGAGAATTTCTTAAATCTTAAGAGCTATACAGTCCTCAGGAGGAGATCTTAATTTTATTTGAATGAGCAGCTTTTGGACAGTTGAACCAGACTTTTGATTCAGAAAACTTCATTTCTCCCCTTCTGATTGTTCTTTGTTTCCACTAGGTGGCATGTTAGTTCTTTAGAGATTTGGGTCCTCTCTCCTCTGAACTCTTTTTCTATTCACAGTTAGTTTCATTTCTAGAGTAGTATGTTTCTGTATTGTTCAATGCACAATCATTTGAGAATTCATATATTTGATACCAGAGTTAAACACAGAATTAACGTGTTTGAAGGGCAGATGTAGCAAAATACAAGGTTTAAAGAATGGGTTGAGAAAAGCAGATTTAATTTCTTTAGCCATGTGATTCCAGGCTATCTGTGTTAGCAAGTGCTTTTTTTTCCCCAGAAAAGTAATGAGAAAAGTATGATGACATGTAATATTTTGAGACTAATATTAATTTGTTTTCTCTTTGTATAGTCTGACCTCACAATAGAAAAAATATCTGCACTAGAAAACAGTAAGAATTCTGACTTAGAAAAGAAGGAGGGAAGAATAGATGATTTGTTAAGAGTAAGTATTAAAATGTGGTAAGAGATTTTATAACAAGCACTGATTGATACTATGTATATTTGGATTTTGCACACATCATAATTACTGTCAACCAAATAACAAATAATAAACATTTGGATATTTTCCTTTAATCTGAGGGAATCTGAGTAGGAACTAGGATCAAACCTATATTCTAAGCTTTCTCTTTAAATTGGAAATCTTATGTTGTAGGATTTAAATATTTAACTATATACTAGAGAAATAGATATATGGAGTATGTGTTTCATTTGGAACTGTGGGAAACAACATAAAATACTGTTTTTCTATTCCAGAGAAGTTTTTGTAATATTCTTGAATTTTTATAACTATTTCATAGGTACTTTTCAGCCCTGCTTTTGCATTTTGTGTCTTTTTTTTTTTTTTTTTTTTAAGATTTTAGTTATTTATTTGACAGAGAGAGACAACCGCGAGAGAGGGAACACAAGCAGGGGAGTGTGAGAGGAAGAAGCAGGCTTCCCGCTGAGCAGGGAGCCCAATCGGGACTCGATCCCAGGACCCTGGGATCATGACCTGAGCTGAAGGCAGACGCTTAACAACTGAGCCACCCAGGCGGCCCAGCATTTTGTGTCTTTTATATAAGTATTTGTCTAAAGGTTTTTGTGCTTACAAGAGAAACTTCAAAAAACTTAATCTGGAATTTAAAAGATACTTTTAGGAAATATACCATGATATTTTAAAAATATATTTTTAATATGCAATTTAGCATATTGACTGACCCCTTCTTTAAAAAACTTTGTTGGGGCGCCTGGGTGGCTCAGTCGTTAAGCGTCTGCCTTCAGCTTAGGTCATGATCCCAGAGTCCTGGGATCGAGCCCAGCATCGGGTTCCCTGCTCAGCAGGAAGCCTGCTTCTCCCTCTCCCACTCCCCCTGCTTGTGTTCCCTCTCTCACTGTGTCTCTGTCAAGTAAATAAAATCTTTTTTAAAAAATTAAAAAATAAAAAACTTTTTTTTAATTATAAAAGCAGTATATATGCTCTTTATAAATTTAGAAAATACTGAAAAATATGACACTCATAATTCCATTAACCAAGTAAAACATTTGGTACATTTCCTTCAGTAACTTTGAGCCATTTGTAGTATGTGTGTATATACAGATATATAAATGCATATATAAATAAGTCTTACTGATGTATAAATAAAATTGATTAATAATTTTATCACCTCCAGTGATTTAGAAGGTGTAGGTTTGATCATCATTTGTACTAATGCAGTAGTTTTCCAGCTGGCTCCATGGGGCCCTGAAGGTTCTGTTGGAGGAACCTCCAGGGCTCCCATGACACAGCTGGGTGGGGATCTGCAGTTTTTCTTTATTATTGGGTAAGATGGTTGGAAGAAAGGGTTTTGTTTATTAACAATAATAGTAATGTTTATTAATAAAGATAGTAAAAGTCACTGTGATTATCTTCCTCCAGAAAACTTTACCTCTATTCTATAATTATCAAAATCAAAGTCAAAAAGTAGTATATTTGACTCCCTTCTGTATAAAACCTGGAATTGAGCACATATCTAAACCATAAGCCCAGGGGCGCCTGGGTGGCTCAGTTGTTAAGCGTCTGCCTTCGGCTCAGGTCATGATCCCAGGGTCCTGGGATCGAGCTCCGCATCGGGTTCCTGCTCGGTGGGAGGCCTGCTTCTCCCTCTCCCACTCCCCCTGCTTGTGTTCCCTCTCTAGCTGTCTCTCTCTCTCTGTGATATAAATAAACTTAAAATAAAATAAACCATAAGCCCGGTCTGAATAACATCTGATGTTTTTAGGCTATTATTATTAAATTATTTTAACATTTTATATAAGAATAATTCTTATATTACAAGCAGTTTTATGTCCTAATTTACAATAATTAGTTACACATGTTTGTTAAACTCATTGGCAGTATGTATTTTTTTTTTTTTTTAAAGATTTTATTTATTTTTTTTGTCAGAGAGAGAGCACAAGCAGGGGGAGCGGCAGGCAGAACAGGTAGAGGGAGAAGCAGGCTCTCTGCCAAGCAAGGAACCCAATGTGGGACTGGATCTCAGGACCCTGGGATCATGACCTGAGCCGAAGGCAGATGCTTAACCGACTGAGCCACCCAGGCATCCTGGCAGTATATTTTTTAAATCATAGTTTTTGTCTTCTTACTTTTAGTTGACTGGAATACATTTTAAGTAATTATTTTTCAAGAAGGATATATCAGTGTTAAGTTTTTTGTTTCCTTATAGATCTGAGAATTCTCTCTCTTGCCTTCCCATATAAAAGGTATTCTTTTTGTGTCATAACCTGTTAGCCTTCTCCTTTACCTCCTTATTGTAAGACACACATACACATGTGTGTGCACCTTTTACTTTTTTTTTTTTTTTTTTTTAGTATTTACTATTTCTGAGAAGACCATGACCAAAGGAACAAACACTAATCTGTTTTCTGTGTTGATTATAGGTACTCTCTCCCCTTATTTTTGTATTTCAAAAAATTTTGCCAGGGTACATATGTACATGGGTCTCTAAATTTTTTTCTGGAAATGTGTGGTTATACTTAATTTTTGCCTCTTTCTGTCTTACGTTGGCCTCTTCCTTGGTTTCTAGCTTGAATCCCTGATCTCTTCCCCTTATTTCTATCACTTCAAGTCGTATTTAATAAGATTGACCTTCTTTTCTGAATCTCATTAAACATTAATTTATATTTTCTGCTGTTTACTGTATCTTATGTCAGTTTTGATTCTATTATTTACAATTTTAGTTTACTTTTCCCCCTTATCTGATTCACTTTCTTTGTCTACCTTGTGCATTCTTTATGGTTTTTGGCTCTGATTTCATAGACACCATGTCTTTTTGTGTTTTATGGAATATAACAAGCTATATTCTAAAATGTTCTTTTGATTCTTTAGGGAGATCATTTTCATCATTCTCAAGCTGATGTTCTTTTTCCTTACTCAGAAATATTTTTACTTAGGTCTGTGTTTTGGTTGTTTCCTTTGCTCCATCCTTCAATGAGGAGAGGCATATTTAGACTCAGTACCTACCTCCGTCTTTCCTTGTTAGCAGATGTGTTTGCTTGAGGTTGTTCTTATGCCTGTTTTTGTTCATACGGGTGTTGTTTGAATTGCCAGGGTTTTAATTAGGTAGATTGCGGGTTTAAAAAGCTCCTAGCCCAATTTCAGGACTGACAGGGTTTTGTCCAGAGAAGCTCTGCTGGACTGAAAAAGGATCATGGGCTCATCTTTTTTCTTCACCCAACTTTGAAGATTGAGAAGATGGAGTATATGAAAAACTTGAATCCTGACTTAGTACTCTTTTTGAATTTTAAAAAAATGACTGCTTTCATTTTCTAGGAAACAGTATGTTCCCTTTACTCACCATTACCCATCTTTTACTCCCTTGTTTTCTGAAGGTTGTAGTCTTTTCTTTGGCTGTAGAAACAATACCAAAGAAATGGAGGCATCAAAAAGGAAGACACCGAAAGCAGCTGCCATATTTTTCAAGTTGATTAGAATTTGTGTTTTTGATCTGGAGGGGCAGGGAATGAGCGCTCCTTAACGTCTCCTTTCAGGCAGGCATGGTTGGTTCATTGGGTTTTTCCATTTTGGTGAGATGTTGGATAAGGCTGCATCAGGAGGCTATAGGCAGGTGCTGGTTTAAACCTAAATACAAAGTTGTTAGTGCTAGAAAACCACAAGAATTTAGAGTTCTTAAAATTTTATTGTATTTTGGTATATCTGGGTGGCTCAGTCAGTTAAGCCTCTGCCTTTGGCTCAGGTCATGATCTCAGGGTTCTGGGATCAGGTCCCGCGTTGGGCGCTCTACTCAGCGAGGAGTCTCCTTCCTCTCTGTGCTCTCCCTCTCCTTCCCCCCCCATCAAATTTATTTTATTGTATTTTATTTTATTATTTCTTTAAGAGAGAGAGCGTGAGCAAGAGTATGTGTGCACACAATCAGAGGTGAGGGGGCGGGGTGGTTAGAGGGAAAGGGAGAGAGAGAATCTTAAGCAGGCTTCATGCCCAGTGCGGAGCCTGACACGGGACTTAATCTCATGACCCTGAGATCATGACCTGAGTTGTAGTCAGAGTTGGACCCTCAACCAACTGAGCCACCCTGTTGCCCCTTAAAATTTAATTTTTTTTTAAAGTAAGCTCTACACCCAACGTGGGGCTTTAATTCACGTCCCCAAGATCAAGAGTTGTCACATGCTCTACTGACTGAGCCAGCCAGGCTCCCCTAGAGTTCTTAAAAGTTTAAATAAGCTGCCAGAGTTTGATTCCATACATTTGATTGTAGATTTTAAGGGATTCCTCGCCTTCCAAAAGGAGATGGAATTTTATGTAAACATTATGTAGTCTTTGTCTTACAGATTTTTTTTTTTTTTTTAAGATTTTGTTTTTAAGTGATCTCTACACCCAACATGGGGCTCGAACTGAACAACCCTGAGATCAGGCATCGCAGGCTCTACCAAACTGAGCCAGCCAGGGACCCTGTGGATTCTTTATTATGAATTAGTCACATGTACCCGTACTTGCACTTTGCCTTTGATAGAGTGGTCCATAGAACTCTGTAAGAACTGATAGAAATTATACATATGAGTAGAAATTGGAGATGGAAGCTGTTGTACACGGGCCACTTTAAAAATGAAGCTGTAAAGTCTCAAAAATTGCGTGTGCTGTAATATCTTCCATTTGTGCTTTTTAGTGTTTCAGAAACACTTAAATCATTTGATTGGGAAATGCCAGATCTTTTTTCACAACTCAAGCACATTATTATAAAGTAGCATTTATTTCCTGAAAGAGTAGAGATCTTTTGTTAATACAAGAATAAGTTTAAAAATTGCAAGTCAAAATTGACCTTGGGTTAGTGGTTCTTCCCTTCTCTGTTATTGTAGGAGGTTTGACTTTTTCAAAGTATTTAGCCCATCCTTCTGACCACAGCTAAATGAACTGTGTATTTACATTCTGGCATTCTTGAGAATCAGGACCTCGTATTCATCTTGTTTGTTAGTTCTGTCTTATGCGGGCATGGGTGTGCCTGGCTTCTCTGGTAAGAAACATTTATGTAAATTCATGTCTCTTTTTCTTTGGAAATAAGAATAGAAAAACAAAGAACAATTGAACATAAGAACATTATGTGGTTTTTTAAAAATTCTGTAATTTTTTTGTGTTTAATTATCCTCTAGGTATTTTGTGAGTGCTATAAAGTGCTAATCACCTTTTGAATGTATTTTAAACATCTCATTAATTGTAGGTTCTTTTATTTTGCTGCAGTTTAGGTATATGTGATGTACTAGATTTACCTATAACTGCCTTTTGAGAGGAGTAAAATATCAGTAGAAAAACGTGCCCACTTGTAGAAACTTCATCTTTACTAAATAGATAAGTTTATAGAGACTAAAGGAAGTATTTGTTTTTTAAATCTGGTTACTCTTAGCTCTTTGAACCTTAATTTTGCTTTTGATTGAGCAATAAGAAATTATGTTTGGACTCTGTAAAAGCTGCTTATGTATTAATCTATCTTCTTTGGAGCTAATTTAAAAAATGTTTTCCCCTTGAAGGCCAACTGTGATTTGAGGCGGCAGATTGATGAGCAGCAAAAGATGCTAGAAAAGTACAAAGAACGATTAAATCGATGTGTGACAATGAGCAAGAAACTCCTTATAGAAAAGGTGAGTGTCAGGGTGGCCTGAACCCTGCATCCCTGGAGGCTCAGGGTGTGGCATTGCTGTAGCTCCTCACTCCTTACCTGAGATGAAAATATTTTAACGTAGGGCTTTTTAGGAGAAGACTCCTTATGATTTGACCATCAGAATTCTTTCTTACATGGACACTGGCCCAAGCATCCAGAGTGATAATTTGGGGCATTGTTTCTGGTTGTGCCTTGCTTGGAGTGGGATGGTGATTGGACAGGGACAGCTTGGCCTAGTTGAATTTATTTGCAGTGTCACTCTCCCCCATTCATACATTCATCCGATCATTTGAAGTGCATATCCTTTTACTATTGCAAACATTTAGTAATGGTTACACTTCCATTTTAGAGGTGGCAATTGGAATAAGTTACGTATATACTAATGTGATAATTAAGTGTTCTTTGTGCTTTAAAAAAATTAAGTTGACGTACACTTGTATGCAACTGCTTTAATTGGCTGTTGTTTCCTTTATTATAGTAATTGATTAGCTGTGACTTGACTTTAATAGTTATTAGTAACTATTTCTTGAGAGTTTTTTTTATTACATCCCTAGTACATATTTATAGTCTATTGAAAGATATCAATACTGCTAATGAAATAAATTATTACAAGCTAGAGGTTTCCAACAGATTGGTGATTGCTTCTGCTGAAATCTTTGGAATGCTGTTAAAAAGACAGGGAGCACTGACAAAAGGGAAGTAGGTTATTGATGTCAAAGATACTGAGGAGAATGTTGTTTTAGCTTTTAATTCATTAATTTTATAGAAAGGAAACCACTTTTTTCCATTAATACAGAGAATTTATTTAAAGTTTTAGGGTATTTCCTGAAGACCATGTAGAGTCAGCCAGTTACTAAACTTTGATCAGTATAGTGCGGAAAGTAAACACCATGCTATATCTGAGTTCTCATCGGAGAATAACGTTCTTTTCTATTTGTCCTTTCCCCTAAGTCAAAACAAGAGAAGATGGCGTGTAGAGATAAGAGCATGCAAGACCGCTTGAGATTGGGCCACTTTACCACCGTTCGACATGGGGCCTCTTTTACTGAACAATGGACAGATGGTTATGCTTTCCAGAACCTTATCAAGTAAGTGAACTGCAGTGATTAAATTGAAGTTGAAAAGTTGCTTTAAGTTTTCTGTAATTATAGTAATTACAAATTCCAGCCGTGGTAGTCCTCTTTTTCATTCAGCTTTAGTCCCTATACGTGTGAAGAAACGTAGGGAATGAGGTGAAGTCCTAGAAAAAATGACAAAAGTAATCAGAGAAATAGTGAGTTCTACATTAAAGTTCAAAAGAATCAGAATTTGGGGCACCTGGGTGGCTCATTCGGTGAAAGGTCTGCCTTCGGCTCAAGTCAGGACCCTGGAATCCTGGGATTGAGCCCCGCATCAGGCTCCCTGCTCAGCAGGGAGTCTGCTTCCCTCCCTCCCTCCCTCCCTCCCTCTCTCTCAAATAAATTAATAAATTAAATCTTAAAAAAAAATCAATTGCTGAAGTTAAGGAAGAAAAATCTAGGACTTGACTTATCTTTTTAATTATGTAATGGATTTTCACGAGGAGTCAGTAAGCATGTTGATTCTGGGTCCATAGAAAAATGAAATGGGCAAGGACCTAAGGAATAACATCCTGAGTTAGGTATAAAACAAAATAAAACCCTAGAAGAACTTATATGCCCCTGAGGCCCTTTAAGGAGACGGTGTCCAGTCATTAGAGAGTGGCTCCCTTAAAGGCCGGGGCTGAGCCAGTGGTCAGGCTGGGGGCCAGCCACAGTGTGTATCTGTCAGCAACTTGGAATCTTAAACACTCTTTCACTTTTTCATAACTTTGGTTTGAAACATTCAAGTATTTACTTCAAGGAGAGAATTAACATTTAAAATCCTAAAATTCCAACTATGTAAATAGCTAAGATTAGCTCTGGACTTAAAAAATATGTATATCTTTAGATTATAGTATCTTTTGGTATATCTTATTTATTTGTCTTTATTTGTTAGATTATTTTCATCTGAGACTGGGAGGAAGGGCATTGTATTTTTAACTGTGGGCTCTCAAACATTTGATCTATAGGTCACTATGAGTTGGAGGGTTCCATAGACTGCTTTTCTTTTTTTCCTTCCTGAAGTAACTTACTGAGCAGTAATTGGAGAGTGTGGGACTCCTTTAATAGTAATGAAACATAAAGAAATAACAAATTTATGCCTGAAATAAAATATAGATACTGATCTTATTAATAATACTAACTCTGGATTGCACATTAGCAGTCACTGTTTTATATGTGATACATTACCCTTCATTTGGCTTAGGTATGTCTTTGCCTCACACATGTACCTTGAGTATGTGTAATTTGGTTTGATAAGAGGTTAGCTATTGAGTGAAAGATACATTACCCAGGAAGAAAAACAAAGCCTTTTGATTTAGGGCAGGTTCCAGAGGCACAGAACAACATCCACTCCAAGTGCTAAGCATAGATGGCTGGGGAGAGCAGAAATGCACCAGGGCAGTGGAAATGGCTGTTACACCAAGGCATGACACCCTGACCAGGGCGTGCAAATTGCCCCGAAAGTAGAACACCAGTTTCATTAGAATGGGACCCGAAGCTATATCCCCAATACTGGCCAAAGCCACCTAGTGCTCAGACTGAGTCCTAGATGTGATGGTGACTCCTGACAGTGGTTACTCTTTAGATGGGGCTGTCTCTAAAATGTCTAAAGACTTTGACTGAAAATAATAGTGTGTTTGTATAGAGATATAAAATGTAATTAATTTTTTTTAGAAGTGCTCACAGTTTTAGCTGATAGTAGTATTTTATCTTTTTACTCTGTAAACAGAGTAAAAAGGTTCTGGAAATCTTTCACAGAGTACGAAATGGTGACTTTGCTGTAGAGCCATCAGAGCAATTAGGACTGTCTAAATTAGATCCTTAACTAGAGATTGTTCCTCCTAGGTGGATAGCATTTTTATGGTTTTAGGTCATATAAATTACAGAATATCCATCTCTTTTCTTGGGCAACTGTTTCTGGCTGTTGTCTACTAATTACAGGTATTTTATTTTCTAGTTTCACTTTAATAAATTAATCCCCTTTCAGTTTTAATGCAGAAATTGAAATTCTTCAGTTGTAAAGGCTATATTTGATATCCTCATAAATGATTATTCTCTGTATATAAGAAACTCCATGATACATAATTTGGTTAAAATGATGTCTAAAAATAATGTGCATTTGTTTTTTAATACCTCTCTTACTGGTTACGTATAGTATGGTTGGAGTCTGGAATACAGTTTTACTGTTGAAGGTGCCTGTATTCATTTCCTAGGGCTACTGTAACAAAATACCATAAATTAGGTGGTTTGAAACAACATAAGTTTATTCTCTCACAGTCCAGGCCAGAAATCCAAACCCAAGGTGTTAACAGACCATACTTCCTCTGAAGCCTCTAGGGAGGATCATTCTTTGGCATTCTGTGGCTTGTGGCAGCATAGCTTCAGTCTCCGTCTCCATCTTCACATGGTGTTCCCCCGTGTGTCTCTGTGTCTTCTCTCCCTTTGTAAGGGCACCAGTCATATTGAATTAAGGGACTACCCTACTCCAGTATGACCTCATTTTAACTAATGACATCTTCGATGACCCTATCTCCAAAAGTTATAATCTGAAGTCCTGGGGGTTAGAACTTTAACATATCTTTTTAGGTGACCTACTTCAGCCTGTAATGGTGCCTAAGGCTGATTGTCTTTTGTTTTCTTTTAGAGGTAATGGCTTTTTAAATAGGGTTATTTAGATTGGAGTGAGATGGATTTATCAGATCATCAGTACCTCTGTAAAAGATGGTGGAAGTACTCTCTTTCTGTGGGTGATAAATGGCAATCATTCTCTAAAATTGATGCAGTGCAAGGATTTAAGGATCAACTCTGAAAGGCACTGTCATATGTGTTGGAGGTATAAGGCTTGATAAGACATGGTTCTTTTCTAAGAGAAGTTACCGTTTACTGACGTAATTCCCAACTTTACTCCCAGAATAAACCTAAACGAAGTATCACTGATGGGACTATCTTTAGATGATTTTTATTTGCAAGTATAAATAGCTAAATCATTTCAAGAATATCAAGAGTTAATGTAGGAATCGTTTTTATATATAATCGTGATCTCTGGTACATCCTCTTTTATGTTCAAGCGAGTGTTCTCATTCTCAGAATATGCGGTTTAAGATTTCCCCAAGTTTTTAGCATCATTGTCCCCTGTCTTTATGCTTTATATATATGGTGGTTATGGGGCCCCTTTCTTGGTGGGTCTCTGGAGATCAAATTTTTGGATTCTTACTAGAAACAATAGTAAATTAGTTTTATTTTATGCTTAATAAAGGTGATTGCTAAAAATCTCAATCTTCCAAAGCAGCTGATCTTCAAAGACAAAACACTGTGGCACCCCACTAGCCCACTATAGTTTATAGCTTAGACTGTATGTTGTATGGTTATCTCCAGAGAGCTCACTGTGCTTTGCACTCACACGGTCCATGAAAGGATAGAAAAGGAGCCAAAGATATTTTACCAGTTTTTTGATTGGGAAACCTCTTGAGAGACAGTTCTGAGACATTGTTCTCCTTGAAGCATTCACTGAGTCAGGAGGATTGTGATTTTATCTAAGGATTCTAGTCTCAATCCATAATTCTTTCAAGCCATATACATGTATTTTGGTGGGGAGGCATATCTTTAATGATAGTTAAGAGGTTTTTTTCAGACAAAAACTCTTTTGAGTTATGATTTCCATTCTGATGTTAAATTGACATTAGTGACCAGCTCATCCTGATTCCAATGGGATTATATTATCACATGAATCGTTTTTTATTTATAATGCTTTGATTAGGTTAATCTTGCTCACAGTATTGTCCTTACAGATATGGGAGCATAAACTGTGGGCATCTACCTTGGAATATAGTCTTGTTCTTCTGGTTGCCATTCTTCCAAGAAAAATACCCTGAGTGTAGGGAAGGTCAAGAGACTGACTACTGCAGTGTTCGTTCACGGAAGAGGGTTGAATAGATTTCATTTGAAAACAGGTTAACAACTTAGGTTCCATTATACCGGGGCGCCTGGGTGGCTCAGTCGTTGGGTGTCTGCCTTCGTCTCAGGTCATGATCCCGGGGTCCTGGGATTGGTCCCCGCATTGGGCTCCCTGCTCGGCGGGAAGCCTGCTTCTCCCTCTCCCACTCCCCCTGCTTGTGTTCCTGCTCTCTCTCTCTCTCTCTCTGTCAAATAAATAAAATCTTAAAAAAAAAAAAAACAACTTAGATTCCATTATTCTGCAGAGATGAAGGTGGGATCAAGAAAAGGTGGGAGAAGCATGGTAGAGAGAGAAGAAGGGAGCTAGCATTTGATTCTCAACTAGGGTAGGTGATTTAAAGATTTTAGTCTTTTAAATGGTTAATCCCAAATCTTGGTATATTTTTAATATGCCAGCTCTCCAAACCTTAATATCTGTTAGGCATACATGAGAGACAGTGGTTTTCTTATATTGATACTTTTACTGACTCCTAATTTGCATATGGGTTTATTATAGAAAATTCAGACTTATTATTAGGAAATCCTCTAATGGTGATGGTGTTAGATATCTGAAGAATCTTTATGTATGTTTTTTATGAATTCATTTTATGTCCCATTCCCTAAGGAGTTTTTACGAGTTGCAAGGCCTCATTGTGCTTTCTCTGAACGTACTTGTTTTTGAAAACCTTAGTTTAGGGGTGCCTGGGTGGCTCAGTCAGTTAAGGGTCCTGGACTCGACTCCCGCATCAGGCTCCTTGCTCAGTGGGGAGCCTACTTCGCCTTCTTCCTCTGCAGCTCCCCCTGCTTGTTCTCTCTCTCCTCTCTCTCTCTCTTACAAATAAATAAATCTTTAAAAGAAAGTAAGAGAGAGAGAGAGAGAAAATTCTTCCTTGAGTCAGAAAATAAGGTCACAGTGAAAATTGGATATTGTTCCTGTGTACTTTCCTGGTCTGAGAATAATCATAACTACTGTCTTAAAGCACAGACTCATTCCAAAAAAATCTTTCTGTCGTGGTTATTTGACTCTTCCAACCTGAAGTTAAGACAAATCTTTACTTGATTTAAAGGGGCTTATTTTTTTGAAGTTTATCAAAATCTTTGGGTACCAAGATATTTGTGTTTATTCTGCAGCTGTCTTACTATTTTTTTGATCTTCTGTGCAACATCTTTTATATCTCCAGGCAGCAGGAAAGGATAAATTCACAGAGGGAAGAGATAGAAAGACAACGGAAAATGTTAGCGAAACGGAAACCTCCTGCCATGGGACAGGCCCCTCCAGCAACCAATGAGCAGAAACAGAGGAAAAGCAAGACCAACGGAGCTGAAAATGAAACGTATGTTCTTTATTCACGTGAACTGTGAGGTACCACACTCTCCCCCAAAATACTGATATCCTGTTAAGTGCCACTGGACAAAATGTTAAATTATGGGGATTTCTAGAGCATTAGCTTTCTTTTTAGTTACATTAATGGATTTACTCACAACTTATATATAAAAACCATGTAAAATTAATTCATTTTCTTAGTCCTGATCTTATTTAGGTATTTTCAAATGAGCGGGAGAAATAATGTCACTTAATTGGCGTCATGGTCTTTGGCCACTCTTGTAACAAATGTAATGTCATCATGGTAGTCAAATGATATAGTTGCTTATGTATGGTTCTGGGTTATGGTGCATTGGTACCATCTTTTGGGGATTACCTGTATGTTACTATATATTACTTATTTAAGATACGTGTTTTGCCTTTATGTTTTCATATCAGTTCTCAAAAACATATTAACCCATAATCCACCTCAAGTATAATGATATTTGTTCTATACCATTGTTAAAAGCCCATGACATCCCATTCCAGTGAGAAAGATGGCTTAACTTAATGCCAGTACTCACTCCATACATACCTGATGTGTTGGGGAGCCTTTTCCTTGACATTGATTTAATAAATCTGTGTTAAATGCTTATTATACACTTGGCCCTGTTCTAGAGACTGGGGATATAGAGCTAAAGGATACAGCCCCAGCCTTAGGAGCTCACAGTTTATTTAGGGGAAATGAACAGATGAATAAACTAGTAATCACATTGAGTATAGTGATAAAAATACACACAGTGAATAAGCTTGGGAAACATCTTCATTCTTATAAATACATTATTTATTTATTTATTTAAAGATTTTATGTATTTATTTGACAGAGAGAGACACAGCGAGAGCAGGAACACAAGCAGGGGGAGTGGGAGAGGGAGAAGCAGGTCTCCCGCTGAGCAGGGAGCCCGATGTGGGACTCGATCCCAGGTCCCTGGGATCATGACCTGAGCCGAAGGCAGACGCTTAACAACTGAGCCACCCAGACGCCCATAAATAAATATTTTAAAACTGGATTCTAAATTTGAAATATTTCCTTTCAGAAAGTCCAAGTAGGAGCCCAGATTTGAAAGTTTCTGGGCACATGTTGTACACATTAATCTGATCATTGTCTTCTTTTGCTGTCACTCCCATATTTATTTTGTGAAGGGACTCTCCCTCCAGTATTACTTGAAAATTATCAAATGCTAGTGTATAAGACCATTGGCTTAGGAGTAGTAGAAGGCATAGGCTGTTCCCTAGCCACAGAACAATAATTAGAATTCAGTCCAGGCCAGTAGTATGTCAGTGAGCAGTTGCCATCTGGAGTCCTGTGTCAGATCCGAGCTGGAAGGCTTTCAGTCCAGTTTTTAATTAGAGTATCTATAACTTGGCTCATTCCTTTGGCCAGAAGCCAAAAACATTCCTCTGGAGGCTTAGAGTGAGTCACATTATCATTCCTGGTATTGAACCTATTTTAGGCGGGGATAGTCCCTAGCTATGATTTTTCATTTCTCTCTTTTTTACTGGTGTGATATGGATTAATGGATGTTAAGTATGTCTGTCACTGTGAAGAGACAGGTGTAACAGCCCTAGTGGATACATTTCTTATTATTCTTTTTATTTTATTTAATTTTTTAATTTTTTAATTTATTTGCAAGAGAAAGAATGAGAGACAGAGAGCATGAGAGGGAGGTGGGTCAGAGGGAGAAGCAGACTCCTCGCCGAGCAGGGAGCCCGATGCAGGACTCAGACCTCAAAGACTGTTTTGTAGCCCTACCTGGTTGATGGGATAGCTGTTTCTTCTTTCTCCGGCTGTTTAGAATATGTCTAAATAATGATATCTGAAACTTAGAAGTATATGTGTGTACTTCTAGAGTGTGAAGAGAATGAAGTTGGAGGAGTAAGCTGTCGCTTCTTAAAGGCTTATTTTTTTTTTTTTAAGATTTTATTTGAGAGAATAGGAGAGAGAGAGCATGAGAGGGGGGAGGGTCAGAGGGAGAAGCAGACTCCCTGGTGAGCCAGGAGCCCGATGTGGGACTCGATCGCGGGACTCCAGAATCGTGACCTGAGCTGAAGGCAGTTGCTTAACCAACTGAGCCACCCAGGCGCCCTTAAAGGCTCATTCTTACAATGTAAGGGTTCAATTGGGGTAGGTGGAACAGTGATCACCCATCAAGTCAGCCCTTTGAGAATTGTGTTTAAATACCTTTTTACAATTTATGGATTATTTCACATTCTCATAGGCACAGCAGCTTTGTTAGATGGGGATCATTGCTTGCTGCATTTTTAAGAAACTAAGACTTAAGTTAAAGTTGATTGTCCAAGGTCACATGGCCAGTGGCCTGAGTTGCACTTCAAACCCTAGACCTCAGACTCCAAATCCTGGACTCTTCCACTCTGTCATTCTTCTCCTTGTTATTATAGTAGCAGAGTCTTAAGAGTTATCAGAAATAATCAAATCCATTGGCTTATTATTTGCCCTTCAAAAAAAACCCAAAAACCTAGGCATATAATTTTTGGCTACCTCTCCCAGTGGATTTTCATCTGAGATTGTATGGACAAAACTCATTTCATAAATAACATAAAAATATAGCTCATTTATTTTCTCATTTTTTACAAATTAGTCTTCTGGCTTTGCAGTCCTTTCTTCATGTCATATCTGATAAATCACAGAAGTTTTCTCTTGTCAAAGGATTGCAAGATAATCTGTCTCAGTTATTTTAACAGAGAGACTGAATATACTGTACAACATGCTTTGGCATTTGTCTTTATTATAGACACACTACGATGTCAAATAATTTACTGGGATTTCTACCATTATCTTCCAGGTTAACATTAGCAGAATACCATGAACAAGAAGAAATCTTCAAACTTAGATTAGGTCATCTTAAAAAGGTAAGTGTAATGAGAAAAATATGGAGAAATCAGTTTACATGTGGTATTGGAACAGATGTCATGGTTTGATATACCTGTAGAAATCTGGAGTAGTTGTGTTCACTATCACATCTTGTATTTAATTTTTTTTTTTTGAGATTTTATTTGTTTGTTTTAGAGAGAGTGTGTGCACAAGCGGGGGGAGGAGCTGAAAGAGAGAGAATCTCAGGGAGACTCCCTGCTGAGCGTGGAGCCCGACTCAGGGCTCAATCTCAGGATCCTGAGATCATGACCTGAGCCGAAATCAAGAGGCAGAGGCTCAACCTGCTAAGCCACCCAGGCACACCCCGCCCCTCTTGTATTTCTAAATGACTTTCAATTTTTGAGCCAACTCCAGCCACCCAGTGGGAGCACTTTTTCAACCAGTGATATACCAATAGATAATTCTGTATATGTCATAAAGCTTCATAAGTGTTATCCTTATAATAAACATTAAATATACAATATGAGTAGGTGGTTCAGATTTGATATGAAAACTCTTAGGATATTTTATTTATTTATTTATTTATTTATTTATTTATTTATTTATTTATTTTAAAAGATTTTTTTGAGAGAGAGAGTGCATGTGCACATGCACTCACGAGAGAGAGAGAGAGAGAACACAAGCAGGGGGAGCGGCAGCTCTAGGGAGAAGGAGAAGCAGACTCCCCGCTGAGCAGGGAGCCTGACACAGGACTCAGTCCCAGGACCCTGGGATCATGACCTGAGCTGAAGGCAGATGCTTAACCAACTGAGCCACCCAGGCACTCAAAAACCCTTAGGATATTTTAAATCGCATAGTAGCTCTTAACCTCTTGCCAGTTTAGACTAGCTAAGAATAGAAGGTCTTGTATAAGCCATACTGTAACACAGAGGCACCCACATAAAAATTGTTGACAGTGTTCACAGAGGCATCTTGGATGTAGATTGCTCATCTAACAGCCCATACATTTTTGGTAGATGCTATTTATGGTAATGATGGTCAGTAAGCATTTAATAAACTGCTGTTGGTGTGTGTGTGTTTTTCCCCACTGGGTTCTCAGATCTTGTTAAATCAGTGGAACTTAAGGCACCAAGCATGATCCATACTTACAGAGCAGAACCAGATAGAGAATCTGATTTTTGTTTTAAAAAAAAAAAAAAAATGTGTGTGCCTATATGTAAAAACAGAGAACATTTCTGGAAATTTACACAAAACACTTAGAAACAGTTACATATGGGGAATGGGCATAATAGGAGGACTCAAGAGCAGAGGGCTTTTTTCTTACTTGTGTACTCCTTTGTATGGTTTGAATTTTTTTTATTATTTGCTGTGGGCTTGTTTTTTATGATTATCTTAAATTTTTCAATTTGAAAGAAACATTTTCCTTTAGTTTTTCAAAAGAGAAATGTCTGCTGTTTTTGAAATGAGATTCTGAAAAAGTGGTGTCCTCTGTTCTGAGCTATTTCTTTCCTTTTCACTTTAGGAAGAAGCAGAGATCCAGGCAGAGCTGGAAAGGCTAGAAAGGGTTAGAAATCTACATATCAGGGAACTAAAAAGGATACATAATGAAGATAATTCACAGTAAGCAACTTGGGGGTATGTTGGGTTGGAGATTGCTGAACACTTTCTGACATGAATGATCAAGAATGATGTTTCTGCTTATTATAAATTGGGTAAATGATTCCACAGTGTATTTAGCTCTATTGCAAGGTTATAATACAGGTTTGTGAACACAACTATGATGTGCTTTAGTTTAAATATATGTAAATATATTAGATTTATATGTTAATATCTATACATGTATTATAGCACTTTTACACAAGTAGAGGTCACTAAAACAATATAGCTTTGCAGTTGTACGTAGTTGGGATACACTGTATTTTCAGATTCCTGCAGAACCTTGCTAAAGGGAAGCATAGGTGACAGTGTGCTGTTGTGGAATGATACCGGCTTGAGATAGCCCTGGTTTTGGAATGACCTTTAAGGGCAATTTGGGTGTTGAGATTTTAAACAAGACTCTCTTAAGTTCGGCGCATTAATTGTAGATGAATGCCCACCTTTGTTTATAAGTCATTTAAAGGATAACAACTGAAAAGTAGATTAAAGTGGGAAGTAGCTTCAGTCCAGAATCTGTTCCTTCCCATGTTTTTCTGACTCTGAACCATCAATTTTTTGGACATAGCTGTAGCTTGTGTATTTTTGTTTGGCCAGTGTGAGCCGTGGACTTTTCCTTTCTGTGAAGTGTCAGGCACAGCAGTTCCCATGACTGAGCTCTGTGTGTGTGTCAGGCACAGTGCCTCGTGCCCTGATGCTGTCAGCTCATTTTCACAGTAGCCCAGTGAAACTCAAGTCAACCTCACCAGGGACCCGTACCTGTGTGACTGAACAGCTCCAGAGCTGACTGCCACACGGTCATGTTGCCCCTCTCTGCAGGCATGTCAGTGTCTCAAAATGAAAATAATTTCTGGATTAATAATGGGGCTATTTAAGATCTGGAATTAGGTAGAAATATTTGTGAAGTTACTTTTGCCAGCATCTCTCCTTTCTTTGTCTTACTGTTAGAAAACAACACAGGGTAGAATCCTCTGTGGGGAAAACAGTTACATCAATGAAACTGTCTTAAAGAGAGAACATGAATGCACATAGAACATGTGACTTCCTTAATAATCGGATCCATTTTTAAGGCCCTGGGAAATATTTTGGAACTTTATTATATTAGTTTGGGAATGGTGGGAATACTTTGGAGGAAGTGGGTAGCACAGTTTGAAAATCCCTGATTTGGTGGAGTCTGTACCCCCCTCACCTTATAGCAAGTGGATAGTGTTGGGAGTTGCACAGCTACCTTTCAGAAGGGGAGGAAGGTGAACAAAGGTTACAGGTCCAGTTGTGGCTACGCTGAGGCTGGCACCTGTGGCTTATGGTTCTCTCCAGCCAGTACTGTTCATTGTCATTGGGCCGCCTCCTCGAACGTGTATAGCATGTGAGGTATTCTGGGAATTTTGCCAGCAGGGAAGATTGTGTAGTCCTTACACTCAGGATGTTCTGTATTTTCTGTTTCCACAGATTTAAAGATCATCCAACGCTAAATGACAGATACTTGTTGTTACATCTTTTGGGTAGAGGAGGTTTCAGTGAAGTTTACAAGGTAAGTGTAAGAACCTCGGTACAAAGACTAAGCATTGAATTCTTGGTTTTTACCAACTTGGAGGACATTAAGAATAGTGATAATTGTGGGTTGATACCTATTTGTTGAAATTCAGAAACTCTAAGAACCTGTATCTTTAGAAGAACTGCTTCCAGGAAACTTAAGTGACTAAGGTAGGATACAGTAGTTTGCCGTATTTTCAAGTTTGAAAAATAAAAAAACAGGAAGGAAAAACACTTCTTTTTGGGTAGTGAAACTGCAGTGATTTTTATTCTGGTTCTGTACTTTGTGCCTCACTTACCTTTGTTAGAAATAAGTATGTGTTACTTTTATTTTTATAAAATTTTTTAACAAAATAGATGTGTTGAAGTTAATTCTTACTTGAAAACTTGCTTTTTGTTTTTAAAATGTTCTCGTCTTCTAAGTCTGAGTGTTTAGTAACTCTGGCATTCTGAAGGAGCATCCTGGCTTCGGCCGGGCCGGTGAAGTTCAGACCACTGTGCCTCCAGTTGGTCAGTTGTACTAAATGACAAATTCAGCTGGTTTTCAGGATAGCTGCAGATCCACCGGTCACCACCTCCTTCAGTTTCTAGGTGTTTCTGGCACCAGGCTTTTACATGCAGAATCCGTTTATTAAATGGTCTTTTACTACATGGCCCTGCGAAGTCCCTCTTCCTGAGGTGCGACCTTCACTGTTGGGATTTACATTATGCCCTATGAATTTATATATGGGAAATCTTTTGGACAAAATAATTAATTTTCATTTCAGGTAAAAACTAGTTCTGTCCCGTATCTTTTTTTTTAATTTTATTTATTTGAGAAAGAGAGCACAAGCAGAGGCAGAGGTAGAAGCAGACTCCCCACTGAGCAAGGATTCTGATAGTGGGCTCAATCCCAGGACCCTGGGATCATGACCTGAACCAAAGGCAGACACTTAACTGACTGAGCCACCCAGGCGCCCCATCCCCCACCTTTTATTGTTATAAAAAATAACTATATTTTCCAAAACCGTTAGTGCCTCTGTGTGTGTGTGTGTGTATTTTTTTTAACTGAAGTGTAGTTGGCACACGATGTTATATTAGTTTCAGGTGTACAACATAATGATTCAACAGTTTTCCTTTTTTTAATGTTTATTTTTTACTGTGGTGATATATACATAAAAATTGGCCATTTTAACCATTTTAAGTGTACAGTTCAGTTGCATTAAGTATATTCATAATGTGCAGCTACCATCACTAACCACTTCCAGAACTAGAATATTATTTTTAATGTACTGTTGGGCTTGATTTTCTAGTTTATTGTATTTTGTTACCTATGTTTGTAAGTGGGACTGGTCCATAGTTAACTTTTGTGTGTAGGCGGCATTGTCTAGCTTCTGTGTCCTAGCTTATCCAGAATAAGTTGTGCCTACGTACACATTTTTCCCCCATGCCCTGGAGTGCATTGTATAGGAATTGTTGGCTCCTTGAAAGTTAGAGCAGACTCAGAATCCTATGGGGGGATGTCATACAGGAAAACTTTTTGACCACCTTTTTAAGTTCCTTCTACAACTATTGATTCATTCACATTTTCTCCCCCTACTTCTCCGTCTCTTTTGATAATTTAATTTTTCTGGAAAATCTTCTATTTCACCTAATTTAAAAATATCCATACCTTAGTTATTTCTCTTTTTTTTAACGAAATGTTTATTTTTGTATCTCGACTGATAGGTCAGAGAGATTAGTCAGTGTTTTTTTTTTTTCCCTCTAAGAATCAACTTTTTATCTTGTTTTTTTTTCCCCTCTAAGAATCAACTTTTTATCTTGTTGATCAAGTCTACTGTTTAATTTGGGTTTTTCTTTTCATTAACTTTTGCTTTTAGTCTTTCCTTCCTTTTACTTTCTTGGTTTTTGTTTTCATTCTTGAATCATACACTTAGTTTATTTTTTATTTTTGATAAACTTTTCAACTGTGGGGAAAAAAAACCAAAATTTACCATCATTAACCATTTTTAAATGTACAGTTCGGTAGCATTAGGTATGTTTATGTTGTTGTGAAACAGATCTCCAGAACTTTCTCTGAAACTTTACCCTCATTAATCATCAACAGCTCTCCCGTTGCCCTCCCGTAGCCCCTGCAAACCACTGTTCTGCTTTCCATTTCTATGAATTAAACTACTGTTAGATACCTGTATAAGTGAAATCACAGTAGTCTCTTAGTGACTGCCTCAGTTCACTTAGCATAATGTTCTCAGAGTTCATCCATGTTGAAGCTTGTGATAGGATTTCCTTCTTTTAAGGTTGAATAACATTCCATTGTATGCGCACGCTTCGTTTGCTTTCTCTATTTATCTGGCGGTGGGCACTGGGGCTGCTTCCTCTTCTCGTCTGTTGTGAATAGCGCTGCTTTGAACACGTGTGTGCAGAGATCTCTTGGAGACCTTGCTTTTAATTCTTTTGGCCCACAAGTGAGACAGCTCCTTTTTTAAAACATCAGAATTTGTTCTTGGTGCTTCCCAGTTGCTAGTTAGTGATTTCTTCATCCTGTTTTTTTTTTTTTTTCCTAGTGTGTTCCTTAAACCTTTTAACATTCTTGAAACGTAGGTGCTTCGTCCAGCGTTGTGTACATTCCATGTAGTTCTTCTTTTGCCTTTCTCCACTCTCCAGAGGCCCTTCTTAAAAATCAGTGGTGGATCATAGTGTCTTGGATTCAGAAATACAGTGTGGTAGGTAGAGAAAAAGACACTTACATATCATTAGTGCTCTTATAAATTAGGTGCTATTTGATCTGGCTTTTAATGGCTTGGAATGGTTCTCTACTGTAAAGCCAAGATGGTATACAAGCTTGTAGGTAGATTTTAGAGTCTGTAAGAATTTCCATTTCTGTGAAATAAGATATTCTGTTTGAATTGTGTGGTTTCTATATTTTAAAAACTACTGGTTTAAATTTAGTATAAATTGGAAGTTTCTTTTATAAGCAGCCCTCTCTTGCATTTAGTGCTTTCCTAGAGGTAGCTTACAGTTTAAAAAATGTGTTGAACAGTAATCAGCAGTATTCATGGACTCTTCCTGTGCCTCTTACCTTCATCTGTTCATACAGTTGTGGAAACTGGCAGATGGGTGGTAATAGTGCTGGAACTCAAGTATTAAGTTTCTCATCTGAACTTTAAAAACCAAGAAAAACTATTCATTCCAAAAGAATTCCTCAGTAAATTCTTTTGTATAAGAGAAATTTCCTATTATATTAAAATACTACTCACTTTATCAAATTGTGATTTATACCCAGCATCCTCAAAAACCCACCTGTTTCCCTTCTTCCCTCTATGACACAGCACTACCTAAGCTGATGGAGGACTTGGCCAGTAGTGGCGGTCTTTGGGGAAAGTCTGTCCCTTTCTTTGGACAATGCTAGAGAAGTGACCTGGTGTGACTAACTTCAGACATTGTTGGGATCAAAAAACTGCTTTTTATATACCCATCATATATGGATAGGACTGTTTTTTGTTTCTGTTTGTGTTTTAATAAACATAGTATAACAAATTACGAGGTTATTTTCTAACAAACATAGTGAAAAGGAATATCTGGAGGGGTTATTTCTCACGGAGCAGGTAGTCTGTGTCCCCAGCATTTCAAAAGCGGCAGGACTTGCTAGGGAAGCATATGCCAAGTCCCAGTGTCAGCAGAGGGGTGAGATACAGCCCAGGGGAGCAGGTCCCCAGAGAGGGCGGGTGGTGTCCACCGAGAAACTGCTTGGAAGGGACTGGTAAGGCGCAGGCTGGCTTGCTGCTTGTGGTGTCTGCTGGGTTGTTTTCTAAGCCCCTTGGTGCCAGTGCGTCTGGAGTCTTCTAAATTATCTGGTCACAAGTTTTAAGAAGATGGTTGTAACTCTGAAACAAGTACGTGATGTGTTGTCCTCCACGGCTGTTAGTATTTAATAATGCATTTTGGGTTTTGAGTACATCCATGTGTTAAATAGAAGCTTCAAATCCATTACTTGCCTGTGATTCTTGTTAGCTTTTATCAAGACTATAACTTATTCCTCTTCTTTGTAGGCATTTGATCTAACAGAACAAAGATATGTAGCTGTGAAAATTCACCAGTTAAATAAAAACTGGAGAGATGAGAAAAAGGAGAATTACCACAAGTAAGTGATGCCAGAGTGTGTGATTTGTCAGAATTCAGTAGTGCTGGCTGTAGCATGAGCCTGTGTTAACAGCGGTATGTATCTTGCTATGGGGATGTCCTTTACTCCTCCTAACTGTCCTAGCAGACTGAGTAACTGTTCCATCTTACTGATGAGCAAACTGAAACTGAAGAGAATTCAAGTCATAGTTAAAAAATGGCTGAGCTGGTATTTAAATCTCGACTTCCCTCAATCCAAAACCCATGCTCTTTAACCTCCCTTTCCATTGTGTGTCTAACATTAGCTACAATAAACAGGCAGAGCCTCAGAAACCATCTTGCTTGTCTGTAGAGAGCAGATGATAGTGCCCTGGGGATCCTGGGGAGCTTGGGGCGGGACTTTTTTCTGCTGTTTCAGTCATTTCATCATGAAGGAGACAGTGGGGGGGTACGTGGGGTGCCTCATTGGTGCTTATTTGACTCCTTCAGCTCCTCAGTGCCTCGCTCACCTCCCCCTCACGGTTTCCCCTCTGAGAATTCTCCGTGTTCAGTGTCCTGCTTACAGTGCTTGCCTGTCTTCTAAAGGCCGCTAGTGGCGATCCTCCGCCATATTTAGGGAGGGGGGTTGGAGAGTGACTTCTTTAGAAGGAATGATTATTACATGTACAAGTGTGAATTTCTTAGATCCACTAATATCAGGTTTTGCCCCCGAGCTTCAGAACGTAGTAGGAATTCATGGCTCATTTGGTTTGGAAGCCACGCATACTTAATTTGCTTTTAGGATCCCTCCGTGGGCTTACTATCATTTCCTTGTTATAGGTACAAGCCCTGAGTTAGAAATGCCCTAACCCTGAAGGGAGAAGACAGCCCCCCACCTTTTTTTTTTTTTTTTAAGGTTTTGTTTATTTGACAGGGAGAGAGCACAAGCAGGGAGGGCGGCAGGGAGAGGGAGAAGCAGCTCCCCACTGAACAGGGAGCCCAAATGCGGGACTTGGTCCCAGGACCCTGGGATCATGACCTGAGCCGAAGGCAGACGCTTCCCAAGACAGCCCTTTTTGATATAAACAACCCACCTCCTTTCTATAAAAGCAGGCTTTTTTTTTTTCTTATAAATAGTACTTTGGAGGGGAAAAAAGCAGTGGACTTTGAAGTAACCATTTTTTAATTGGCTGCTAAATCTCATTTCTACATCATCAACTAGTTCTTGGGGCATAGACCAGGGCAAGTCTTACTGTACCCTTGTTACTTATCGGGGGTCCAGGAACTCTTCTTTCTGCACAGATTGGCAGTGGCACTCAGCCCCGGAGAAGTGGGGGTTCCTGTGGCATTAAGGGAAGTAGGGCTTAGCAGAGGTAGGCAAACGGATGATGTGTGGTTTATGCATGGCACCCTGCGTGTGTATCCTACGTGACAGGCAGCTGCAGTCCAGATGCGTCTGAGGAGCGGTTACATTATTAGAAGTGCATTCCAGTGACTTGGCGTGCGGGGACGAATGGCATGCCACAGTGAACGCCAGGAGCGCTACAGAGAAGGAAACCACATGTTGTTCTGACCAGTTATAAATGAGAAATGTCCCCATTACATTGAGACTCAGTACATAAGGGTGTTAGAACTATACATGCTTCTCTTTAAAAATGCTCTTCAGCTCTCCTTGGAGGCTGTTCTCTGTCTTACGTGTGCCTTGACCACGCTAAACCACTTGACTTCACGAGGGGCCAGCCTTGGTCAACCTTGAGAAAATGGTTCCTGTGTTGGTATTGACCCATACTCTGCCTGGTCTCAGTGTCCAGCTTTTAGTCTGGCCCGAAAGAGAACTCTGGTAAGGAACACTGTGGTAACTGTAGGGGGCTGCTGCTTGCCTTAGCCTTCTGCAACAGTGAGGGATTGAATCCGGGACCGTGTGCCTCCGCGACACATTTGGCAGGCTGTTTCAAGTGCTAGTGGGTAGAGACTAGGGATCTGTCTCACATTTCTCTACCAGGCGGAGTCATAGCACAAGTGAAGGGGGTTGTCTCATTTTTCTAAGCTCTTGACTGGTCCAGCTGCAGGCTCGCAGTGGTGCCTTCCTACCTCTTTTATTTCCTCAGCGGAGGTGGGCATCATGGCACCCAAGTACCTTCTATGGAGCTGTCTCTGCAGGGGCCATTTCCTAGCCAAAAAACACATGGGAGAGGGGGTGTGCAGAGTTCTTGTGACTTCCATTCACGCCTGGGGAGAAATTCATAAGCACTCCACCTTGCTTTGAAAGATTTTGCTTGATATGAAATCATAATGATGAATATAGGCTACATAGATAATAGTGAATTAGCAAAATGTCATTAATGCCTTTGAACTTAAAGAAGGCTTATATCAAGCACATAACAGATTTTAGAGGGTGCTTTAAAAATTCAGTATTAAACTAAAAAGTGGTTCACTTCAGTGTTGTGGTAACATTATAAAATATGAAAATGTTACTATTCTTCTGCATAGTAATGTCTTTGCTTTTCCTGTCATGGGAGTGACTTGCCAGTCCCATCTGGAATGAAGACATTTATTTGGGTAAAAAGGAAGGAAGAACTCAAAATTAAAGGTGGTTGTTTTGTTTAATTTTGAGTTCTCTTCTGCACCTCCTTTCCTCTCCTTCCCCCACAAACAAAAAGCAAATTGATTGTTTTACTTTTGCATTATTAAAACATTAGTATCACAAGATTTCTTTAACTCCCCCAAACAACATATTAAAAACTCCACTGTAGGAAACATCTCATATAAAGCTGTCCACAGAAATAATTGTATCTGAATTAGTTAGTATACTCTTGTGTATGATACTCTTCTAATTTTTTAGGACAATCATTTTGGAAGCCTAAATATACATCCATTTACAGGAGAGTAAAAAACTAACATGTTAGTGGATACATTTCTTCCAGTTTCTAATTAAAGTTTCTGTATTTGTGCTGCATTAATCCCTCGGATGCTAAATTAAAAGTTGAACATATGAGGGATGTGGCAGAGCTCCTGGCTTGCCTGATGAAGCATGAGAAGCGGGCTTAGAGCCTAGCATGATGTTGAGGGAGTGCTTTCAGTGTTCACAGCAAATGCCCTTGGTTGACAAGGACTTTGAATGACCCTCCCTTTGGTTTTTAATGTTTGCCTCCTTTAGTTTCCTCTGTTTTCTGTACTTTGGTAGAGAAATTGGTCTCTTCTGAAATGTATGACAAAATCAAAAAGTTTAAACAGAATGGCAGAGAACTATACATTTTTAGTGTGCTAGTGTAAGAAATGACTTGAATGGTTATCTAGTTAGTCCCTAGCTTTCTAGACTTGGTTTTTGTGAACAGCATCACCTTAGTTTTACTGAATGAAGTATTACACGGAATCTTGATGTTTGAAAAAGGTGTGATGCTGCTTAGGTGGGATGTGGGGTTGGGCCACAGTTACATTTGCTGAGCATCTGCCCAGGGGGCTCCGGAGTCCTGGATCTCCAGGAAGCGTCCTTTGAAACCTCCAGTCCTGTGCAGCCATGGAGGAGCCCCGAGAAGCGATGTCATAGAGCTGGGACTCGGGGCCGGGTTTCCAGGTCCCAGTGTAGTGGGTGTCCTAACTGCTCTAAGTGCTGGCAAGTCTCTTCTTTTCAGAAAGACATAAAGGTGATGAAATGAAGTATTAGAAGAAGCAAAAAAACTGCAAAAAGTGGCAGCTTGAAAAATAAGCTTAGTCAAACACAGTTTCCATCCGGGAAAAACGTGTTTAATTAATTTTAGATTCCTGTTCCTCTCTCCCTGTCCTGCTTGTTTCCTCAGCTTTTCTTTAGTTGAGTACTTTCTGTGTATCTTTGACATACTGGAATACACCAATTTCAGAAAACATCATCTTAGTTTTATTTTACCATACTCTGGAAAGTTCTCTTTTCTGACTCTTTGCCTTATAAGAAAATGCCCCAAACTAAATGGTGGTAGCTTACTTAAAGTATAAAAATTTTCTGTTGCTCTCTTTGTAAATAAGAACTAAATACTTTAAAAATTATTGGTAATTATATTGAATAAATTTGTTCTGTAATTCTTTTAAAATTCAATGAATATGTGAAATTATATAATTTGTTTTGTTCCTAATCTTATTAAATGACTTTAAATTGGAAAAGCACTAAAAAAAAAAAGGTGTTAATATGTATATGTAAACTCTAATTCCAAGAAAACTAAGGTTCAGTAATTCTCTTTTTTTTTAAGATTTGTTTATTTGAGAGAGTGTGTGCATGCACACGCACACACATGCATGCAGGCACATGCCGAGGGGGATGCGCAGAGGGAGAGAGAATCCCAGGCCGACTCCTCGCTGTGCGTGGCTTGATCTCACTACCCTGAGATCATGATCTGAGCTGAAATCAAGAGTTGGACCCTTAACGGACTGAGCCACCCAGGCCCTAGGTTCCATAATATTTTTATCAGTTTCATATTTTCTTAGAAGAAAGTAAAGCTGATAGCCCTTTAAATTCTTTGTGTAAGGAGAATTCTAGAACAAATATAAAGCACTGCTAATTGCCTTATATAATCTGTAATCCTTTTACCCAAGCAGTTTACTGCCAAAATTGATCTCCTTGATGTAGCCCCAGGATATAAACATTTATAGATACGAAGTATCAGCTTTTGAAGGGAGAGAAAAAACTGTCTTTATCATTTTTAAAGCTTTGCTATTTGGATATAAATATCAAAGAGGTGAGATTGTGATAGAATGAACTTGAAAGGGATAAAAGGTTGGCATCTAGTCCTTCAGCAAATATTTGAGCACCTGCTATTTTCTGAACAGCTTGGTAGACACCAGTAGTGAAAATAGGATGAGGAAAGATATGGGGGCCAGCCGACCGACCTAAATGGAATGTATAGGCAGAAATAAGGAGCAATGAGAGAATATGTAGGCATATCCTTGAAGAGGTCTGAAAGACCATCCAAAATACAAAATGTTAATTTTCCACTTTGTTTACAGGCATGCATGTAGGGAATACCGGATTCACAAAGAACTGGATCATCCCAGGATAGTTAAGCTGTATGATTACTTTTCACTGGACACTGACTCGTAAGTGCTGTGCCATTTTAGCTTAGCAGTTGATACTGGTCTCTTGCAGTGTGTTGACTACTCATGGATTAGAGTTTCAATCTGGGTGGAGGAAATACCCTCTGAGGGAACCAAGTGCATTTATTTCTGGGCAGATGATCCTGTGTGAATTCGCATTTGGGCCAGCAATACATCTCTTAGCCACAGGATATGTGTAATGGTGTGCTGGTGAATGTTGGACAACCAGCTTGGTGGGGAGGGGATAGGGCTAATTCACAGTATTTAACAGTCTCTGTGATAATGAATTTCTCAACACGTCTGGTTTCACACTACTAACTTAACCCACTTTATTGAGATATAATTTAAATACCGTATAGTTCACCCATTTAAAGTATACAATTCAAGGCTTGTCGTATATTCACAGATATGTGCAGTCATCGCCATAGTCATTTTTAGAATATTTTCACTACCTCAGAAAGAAACCCCATATTTTTTGCTGTCACTCCCCTATTCTCCCCCCGCCCTGACTCCAGCCCTAAGCAGCCACTAATTTTTTTTTTTTTTTTTGCCTCTATAGATTTCCTATTCTGGACTTTGATATGAATGACTCATAGTATATGGACTTTTATGACTGGCTTCTTTCATTTAACAAGATGTGTTTTCAAGGTTCATCCTTACTGTAGCATGTATCAGTACTTCATTCCTTTTTAGGACCAAATATATTCCATTGTATGACTATACCACCTTTTGTTTGTCCATTCATCCTATCAGTGGCTTAGTAATTTAACTGTTGGCTCTTGGTAACTGTCACAAGTTGGTGCCAGCTACCTCTGACACGCACCAGTGAGTATGGACTATACAAGAGTCTCTGCCCCAGCTGGACGTTCTGATGAACAGTGATGGATCTTTCAAGGAGGGACCAGCAATGTGATTTTATCATAGAACGGGAATGAAGGTGGCACAAATGAAGGCATAACCCAGTGCTGCCTATGAAATAGAGCCTCACAGGCATGTAGGAGGTTAGAGGTAGGAGGGATCTCAGTTCAGCCTTCCCACTGTATAGATGGAAATTTGTGGACCAGGGAAGTTAAAGGACTTGCTTGAGATCTTTGGTACTCTTAGGCATTGTTGTATTTCATTATCTGGTATAGGTGAGCTCTGTCACCTCTGGGTTTATCCAGGGATTTAGAAATATTTCAGCATTTGGAAACATTTTCTCTGTAGGAGTCTGAGCTGATTTAGGAGAACATACTGTACGGTCTGGCCAGCAGGTGTTTCTCTTCACCTTGCAGGGTGATTCTAGACGTTTTGGCCTATTCCAGACAGCAGCTGTCTAAGAGATTGCTATGCCGAGAATTGTCCCACGTTTAGAAATGTTTCCAAAAGGGGGAGACCTTAACTCCCTTTGGAAATGTGAAAAATCCCTTCTTCCACCTGCTCAGGGATGTACCCTTTCCAGAAGGGTGGTCTTCAAACCTGGCATAGTCAGTGTGTGGTTAGCATGGATGGGGTTCAGATGAATATCTAGGTACAGAACAGGTCTTCACAGGGTGGTCTTACCTTTTTGCTTTGAGTAAATTCCTTGAATACTAAGTAGACTGTCCCCCCCCCCCGCCACCACCACCCCTCAAAATGTAAGTACAAAAAACATCTCAAAAATAAATATGACTTGGATTATTTGCAGTTTTGAATTGTGTATACACTTTTAACTGATCTGAGGAATTGACTTGGTTGTCTGCTATTCTTGAATTTATTTTGTTCCTCCTGTGTGTGTATGGTGAATTTTCATCATCATTTTAGAAAATCTTCTGAGAGTTGTTTGGATGTTCAAGTGAGATTTTATTTTAAACTTGCACTTGGGTCAAAGAATACATCGACTAAGCATGAGAGTCTGTGTCGCAGATCAGAGAATCTAAATTTTTGATATTTATCCTCAAATAGGGTGCTAGCATGCCCTAGTATGTTTCATAAGAAACATAAGCTGTTCAATTCAGGGATCCCACAGAACTATGTATGTGCACCTTTCATTGCAGTACTTTTTGAAGGCCTCAAATTGCCCAGGGGCCATAGTGCTAGTCCTGAGCCTGTTTGCTCTCAGGTCTGCTCCTCACCCTTCCCCTGCTCTGCATCTTAGGTGAGTTGACCCTTGTCATCTGTTTTACCAGATCCTGTGTCAGTTGTTGTTCAGCTGGGTTCAGCCACTGCGGAGACAGAGATAGTGGGAGGTAGACACACACACACACCCGCCCCCACTATGATTCCAGTCTCTCTTGGTGACCCTCCATTCTGGTTGCACCATCTCTGTCATCTGGCCCTCTTGGCCTTAGGGTGCTAATGGCTTCCTGTCTAGATGATCTCTGGGGTGCCTCACTGGCCAGTTTACCCTCTCAGCTCTTCCATCATCCATGTGATCAGTGCCCTGAATTAAAACCTCTGTTTTAAATACTCAGGTGGTTTTTATTTCCTGACTAGACCCTGAGTGATAACACCGACATTGTCACAGCTTAGGATAGTTTAAAAGGTCTTCATCTCTCAGGAATACTCAACAATTCAGGAAGCCTTTGGTTTATAACTGCCTTGGAAGCTAGACACATGACCCTTAACACTACAAATGGTATGTAGTTTTAAATTTGGGTCTGTATATGTATTGATAAAAGTGGAGGAAAAAACTCATACAATGTAATAACACATTTGTTAGAACCACAGATACTGTGCTTTTATTTATTTTTTTAAAGATTTTATTCATTTATTTGACAGGGAGAGAGAGAGTACACAAGCAGGGGGAGCAGCAAGCAGAGGGAAGGGATGAAGCAGGGGGAAGCAGGCTCCCCACTGAGCAGAGAGCCCAACTCGGGGCTCGATCCTAGGACGCTAGGATCATGACCTGAGCCGAAGGCAGACGTTTAACCGACTGAGCCACCCAGGCATCCCGAGACTGTGCTTTTAGAAGTTCTTTTACACCTTGTATTTAGCAAGGAGAGATTATAGTACAGTATTGTGCCAAATTTCCATGAGATATGACATGAAACCAATTCTTGGGACCTGAGCAAACCCTAGATTCTTACTGTCAGCACTTGGGGTCAGATGAAATGTTTGCATTGAGAATTGTGTACTTGACCACAATATGCTTGTTTAGAACTGGAGCACGGCATGTGTGGGAGACCCTTCTGAAAAGATACCTAGCTTAGGTACATTACAGTTCTTGTCCGTATTCGTATAGTCTGGATTTAAGAAGAGGTATGTCATGGGTACACTGTAGCACAACAGATTCTCCTGTGGAGGATGTGAAGGCTCTTCACCAGGGGAGAATGCAGTTTCCTTCCCGTCAGCCACTCAGGTAGCTACGACTGAATAAAGAATAGAACTCTACTTTAAGGAATGAAGAAGAACAGAGCAAGAAGCTAATTACCTGAAGTTTTCACTGGGGCTGGTTTAAGAAGTCTTAATCTGCTTGCACTTTCCCACAGTCAAATGCTGGTTTATTTGTCTTTAGGTTTTGTACAGTATTAGAATACTGTGAGGGAAATGATCTGGACTTCTACCTGAAACAGCACAAATTAATGTCGGAGAAAGAGGCCCGATCCATTATCATGCAGATTGTGAATGCTTTAAAGTACTTAAATGAAATAAAACCTCCCATCATACACTATGACCTCAAACCAGGTATGTCTAACTTTTAGGTGACTGTATTGATGACTTTTCTCTGATCTTTGGTGAAGTGACTTGTAATTTTACAAAGTTAGAGAATGTGAGGGAGCCTGGAAGCCTAGTAGCGTCTGGCTTTGCCCGGGCAGGTGTGGGAACAGAGTCCTGGCCCCGCAGTGCTGGGCTTGAGAAGGGGAGTTGGATTAAATACTCAGAAGAAACAATGCCCTTGTCTTTAGAGTCAGGGCAGTTCATGATGTCAGCCCGATTTAGAAAGAACTGCTCTGGCAAGCTCAGCTTTGTTTTTTTCCCATTACTCACACTGCGTAGCCGTTCCTCTCCTCCAGGTCTCTTTGATAAGTGTCCCCAAATGAACAAGTTATTTTGCAGATACACCTCCCGTTTCATTAAATCCCAGTAGTTTTTCATCTTTTTGTATGGTTACTGTGTAAACTTCAGTAGACCTTAGCGAACAGTAGAGGGCAGTTAAACTTCTTACCTCTGTTTTTGTTGTCCTCATCGTGGGCTGTTTTTCCAGAAGTCTGTGTATGTTCTGTGTAGGTAGCTGGCACCAGCTTGGCTGGGGTGTTCGGAAGATGGTTCCCACTTACCGCCTGGTGGGCACAGTTGTTAACTCTGCTTTCCTCTCCTGGTAGCTACATATTAAATCTCACTATTTACTATTCTTTAATGTTCTAGTACAGTTCAAATGACTAAAAAATTCATTACAACAAAGTGATTTTTTAAAACAATGGCCATTGTGTGATTGGGTTTTCCACTGCTGAATCCAGTACATTTTCCTGGTGTAGGAGCTGTAGGTGGCACTGTGGTTCTAGCTTTGATTCCCTTGTATATTTTTGGGTTTCTGGGGGTTTTGTTTTGTTTCTTTTTTTTTTTTTTTTTGTCCTGAAACAACTGTTCTAAACAGGGTGGTTGAGAGATCGTTACTGAAAGTTCAGATGAAACTTTCCCACCATTTTAACCAACTGTCCAAGTGATAATTTTACTTTGGCAAGTTACTGTTTTTTTCCCACTGCTCATAGTGGTGGTTTTGGCACATCTAGCAGGTGATTCTTGGAAAATGGAAGTTTGCAGCCAGACACTGAGGACTCTCCTCCAGCATCCAGAGTCCAGATCATTTTATTCCAGGAATTTAGATGTTTGCTATTATGTGCAAGAGTTTGAGTTCAGTTGTCCCCTTCTTGTCTGTTATTACCTTGAACTTTTCTCTTAATTAGTAAGTCTTTTTATTCATGAAGGTTTTCATCTTTTTAGGTAATATTCTTTTAGTAAATGGTACAGCATGTGGAGAGATAAAAATCACAGATTTTGGTCTTTCCAAGATCATGGATGATGATAGCTACAATTCCGTGGATGGCATGGAGCTAACGTCACAAGGTGCTGGTACTTACTGGTAGGTATTTGGGAGATCTGCCAGGTTGGCTGGTGCAGATAAGGCTGTGCTGTACTGAAATATTGGTAATTGATAATATCTACATCCTGTCTTAGGCAGAAATGCTGTAAACCGAAGTAGACTTTCCTCCCCAAATTTTAGTCTTTCCGGCAGTTTGACCCTTTGTATTTAATTAATTTTTCTTTCCTTTTTTGGAAACCATTGAGAGAGGTTATCTACGGCCAGGCATTGGAGTTGTGTGTTTCTTCCTGGGGCCTGCCCTATGGAGTAGGAAGAGGGTGAGATCGCTCATGTGTATTTAAAGAATGGCCCTAAATTATTTTCAGTACAAATGCAGCTCTCTCTCTTTTCCCAAGAGAGGGGGAGAGAGGGAGAGAAAGAGAGAGAATCTTAAGCAGCTCCATACCCTCAGCGGAGCCTGATGCGGGGCTCAGTGCCATAATCCTGAGCTCACGACCTGAAATCAAGAGTTGGGCGCTTAACCGACTGAGCCGCCAGGTGCCCCATTTCAGGTATCTTCCTATGCATTAATAGGGTGAGGGATCCATCTCTAGAGTTGCCTGAGGATGGTGGACTGTCGGCAACTAAGGAGTTGTGAAAGACCAATATGTAAAGTAACCACAGCATCCCTGGAAATCTAAACAGGAAAAAAGTAGTTTGCCAGGAAAATTACCCGTCTCCTCAGCCATGCTCTAAACGGTTTTGGGCCACGTATCTTCCATCTGTTGTCACTCATCTCCCTGCAACCACCGTGCCCCAGCTATAGCTCTGTGACCTCTCCTAGAGGTCTGTGACTTCTGCCTAGTATTCCTTTCGACAGCGAGAACCATAAAAGATACCTGCAGCCCAAGCATTTAACTTTGTGATTGTAAAGGAGTGTTAACAGAGCTTCCTTTTCACTTCTGAGGTGGTAACACAAAGCTACATATTGGACATGTGATTCCAACATGGAGAAAGCCTCCAGCAGCACTGAGGGAGGGGTTATACATGCTGTTAAACCCCAGGGTCTGTTGGTTAGTCTCTTATCTTTGAGACTGGAGGGCCCTGGGCTTTAGCAGAATAGTGACTGCCTGGGAATGAGGGTGTGGGTTGGAAGCAGATGGAGAAGGGGAAGTTCCTTCACAAGCCGCAAGATGAGCTCTATTCTCATCGGTCTTATCATATGTAAGGTATGTTAGAGAAACCATCACATCCTGAGAGAAACACCATGTGCACAAAATTTCTACTTTTCATTGCTCCTTATTTTTTGTGGCGATGGTACCTATAGTGAAAATCAGTCTCTAAATTAAAACTTTGAGATTCTAGGTTTAAAATAGAAGCTACATTTACAGTGTTTATTTACTATGGTGGTTATTGTGGGTTAGTGTTCCTGTCTCTAAATGATACAAAAATATCTGTTGTTGGAAATTCTGGAAACAGGTCTATACCTCTGCTATATAAATTCACTAGAATTTAGATTTTAGCTTTTTTTTTTTGGTAGTTCTTTTTTTTTTTTTTTTTAAAGAGTTTATTTATTTGAGAGAGAGAGAATGAGAGATAGAGAGCACGAGAGGGAAGAGGGTCAGAGGGAGAAGCAGACTCCCTGCCGAGCAGGGAGCCCGATGCGGGACTCGATCCCGGGACTCCAGGATCCTGACCTGAGCTGAAGGCAGACGCTTAACGACTGAGCCACCCAGGCGCCCCTTTTTGTAGTTCTTTTTAAAAAGTGAAGCCTTTTGATGTTTAAATTAGTTTTCTCATTGCCACCTATTGCTATATTTGCTAAGCTATTAAAAATTTAGTATTTGAAATTTAAACAAAAATTACGCTTGGGATTTGCTTCAAAGTAATGTTTGGTGGGGGAGGGGCACATGAACAAAGATTGGCCCCATGTTGATACTGAAACTGGGTGATGGTTACTTGGGTGTTCATTTTATTGTTCTTTCTACTTCAGATTATATTTGAAGATGGGTTTCATAATAAAAGGTGGTGAGGTGGAGAGGGAGGCTACTGAGAAAATTTAATTCCATGGGTTCCTATGAAGGTTTACAGAGAGTCTCCATGTTGGTAGAAGCATTGTCATAATCACCCTCCTCATGTGTCATCCTCTTGTGACATCCGCAGAGATATATACAGGATGGGAAAACAGCAAAGTCTAGGTGACTGTTTGCAATGTTTTGGTTGCTGCAGTATTTGGTAGAATTCTACATTGAATACTACTATTAAGATTTTATTTTTAAGTAATCTCTACACCCAACATGGGAATCGAATGCACTCCCCTGAGATCAAGAGTCACGTGCTCTGTGACGCCTGGGTGGCTCAGTTGGTTAAGCGGCCTACTCTTCATCTCAGCTCGGGTCTTGATCTCAGGGATGTGAGTTCAAGCCCCACATCAGGCTCCACACTTAAAAAAAAAAAAGTCGCATGCTCCACCGCCTGAGCCATCAGGCACCCTGAATACTACCAAATAAATGACCTGTAGGCTAGACCTTGAGAATCTTCCCCATGACAATTTTATCATGATGGAATATGCAACTTGTCTTTTAAACACAATTTAGTGCAATGTCATAGAACTGTCTTTTCTCTCCTGGAGTCCTCGATAGGGAATTAGAGCACTTACTTTTTCAGTTATTATTTGGATGAAGAACTAGTTTATTTCTCCATTTACACGTGGGAAAACTGAGACCTAGAAGTGATTTTCCAGATTTGTACTGGTATCCAGTGGCAGTGTCTTTTTTTTTTTTTTTAATCAATGTCTTTTGTACTCTGAATATTTGGGTAAATTATTACTCAGCATTTGGATAAGTTCAACAATTTCTGTCCTTCCCTAACACCTCCACAAAAGAGTTGTAAATGCATTAAAATGATCATTTTGGAATCAGGTTTCTATTTTTTATTTATCCAACATCATATTTAAATTATGTATGTTGAAGAATCAAGAACCATGAAAAGTCGGGTTCAGGGAGGTTTTAGGGGCATTTGGGAGAGCTGTTCTTTTTATTCTTTTTCCTGTATTTTTATTTCTTTGCTTTTTTTTCCCTCTTCATAAGTTCAGTGTGTGTTTTGGCTAACAGTTTTCATTGTGAAACAATAATGTAGGTCAGTGGTCTTAATCATCCCAAAATGTCTGTTAAAAATAATAAATAAGAAACAAGAACATGAGACTAAACTTCTTTCAAAAAAGAAAAAAGCCCATCATCAAATATTTTCTGCCTCTCAACTTTTGTGGCCCCCTTCAAGTTGTAAGTTTAGATTTTTATACCAGAAGCACAGCAGGGTCTAAAATAAAGAATTTTTTCACAGAATTGATTTTACCAGCATGAAATCTGTAGAAATCAATCTGTTATCTTCAGAATGCTGTCTTCCAGCTGCGCCATGGCTAAGACCCCAGGCAATGAGTGGAAGCATATTTGTTGGGTTTCCTAAATGCAAAGAGGCCTTTACCTTCGACACCATACAATTTGGTGTGGTTGGCTGCCCAGCTAGTCTTTTTCAGAGGCCAGGGGTGGGTGGGGAGGGAAGGAATTCAGATGAGGATTGAGTTGTGCTAACTACTAGTTTGTTTGGCTTTTTCTCCCCTACTTGTTAGACTTCCAGTAAGCCCCTGATCATCCTTCGAGTGGGAAGTGTAAAATACCTTTGATAATTCGGACTGTAATATCACCATTTATTATAGGTTGTAGGTACTCCCAGTCTAGAGTTTGCAAAGAGGCTACTTTAAGAAGGCAGACAGCTAGTCCTCTCAGAGATTTATACGGGGTCCTGAATTCATTCGGACTTTGAAGATAGTTATTTTAGAGAGTCATCTTTCTTAGCCAACATGAAAGCAAACCCACACCACTTCGAGTTCTATGTGGATGTTTGTTGCTGCAGTTCATAAAAGGGAATGTGCTTCTTTTGTGTTGTCCCTCCTTTTTGGAACTTGTTGAATGACACTTATATTAGGGCACAACCCTGGGAAAGGATGCTGGGGTGGGTGAAGCAGGGACTAGGGAGAATATTTGCTCCTCTCAGTGAATTGAGAAGTGTATTTTAAGGCTTTTAGGACATGACTCCCTCCTTAAGTTAGAGTGTCTTCTCACTGACTTTCCCCAGCTAGGCCCAGTTGCTTTTTTGGCAAAATTTCAGTTAAAATTCCGATACTTTTATTTCCCGCATGGTCTCCTACTTTGCCTTTTTATACATGTCCTAGATTTATACAGTCATTTTTCTAAGAATTTTTATTTTCTTTTTGTCCCAGGTATTTACCACCAGAGTGTTTTGTGGTTGGGAAAGAGCCACCAAAGATCTCAAATAAAGTTGACGTCTGGTCAGTGGGTGTGATCTTCTACCAGTGTCTTTATGGAAGGAAGGTAAGGAAGAAGGTCAGATGTGGTGGCTTGACGTCTGTCTTGGGCTGCATGTACACACTGGCATGGTGTCGATTATTCTCTTGGAATTAATCATTTGGTTATACAGAATGGAATCCTGAAAGTTGTGGTTTGAAGAAAATACAGACAATAATAAAAGCTTTATGCATAAGCAGAACTTTTCAACCCTAGAGTACTTAATGAATTCCACTGGGCTATTGAAAACATGCGTTTTTGCTGTTTTCAATTAGATCCAGGGTATGTTTTGTTTCTGATAATATATACAAGGAATTATATGAAATAGTTTATTTAAAGTATACAGTCATTCCAGGAGCCATTCTTTTTTTTTTTTTTTTTAAATGTTAGTCTCGCCGACGCATGTGATTTTATTTGTTTGCTTATTTATTTATTTGACAGAGACACAGCAAGAGAGGGAACACAAGCAGGGGGAGTGGGAGAAGGGGAAGCAGGCTTCCCACAGAGTAGGGAGCCCGGGGCTCGATCCCAGGACCCTGGGATCATGACCTGAGCCGAAGGCAGACGCTTAACGACTGAGCCACCCAGGCACCCCTCCAGGAGCCATTCTTTAAGGTCCCAAGAACTGAAACTTGAAATATCTACAGGGCTCTTTATTCCCAGCCATCCCATTAGTTAAAGCTATTATTAATAAAAGCATGCTTTCTATTTTCTGTACTAGGGAGATGTAGTGTTAGAAAGTATTCACTGTTACCTCTGGATCAAGGTGATAGATCATTTGGACACATAATAACCTAGGTAGTAAACTATACCTAATGAATTTTCACATTTGTGTTTTCCTTATGAGCCTACTACCTTACAAATAAACATACTACTAGGATCCAGTGCGTGTATACTAAAACTTTTGCTGTCAGTGTGTTATAAATAATTGAAGTTTGTCGGTGGTCCCGACAGTGTAGGTTGTGGTTATAAGCCATTTGGGAGTTCTGCAACTTCCTCGGACTCTTAATATTTTTATTACAATCCCTAGACCAAGCTCTTCGTTCCGATTTCAGCTTCCTCTTTAACTTCTCCCTGGTCTTTGTTTATCTTACCTCTCTAAAGGTAACTATAGAACCAGCCATAGGGGTTAATTATTATTATTTTTAAGTAATCCCTGCACTCAGTATGGGGCTCGAACGCACAACCCTGAGATGTAGCTGCGTGCTCTACTGACTGAGCCAGGGAGGCGCCCCCGGAGTTGTTAATTATTACTTAGTACTCTGATGATGTGGAAGTGCTGCTGATAATGTTGGTAGGGGTTATGTACAAGCACTGTAGAGATGACACTAGGCTTGAACTTATATTTTAAGACTTTATTAGAAAATTGGGGTTCCTGGGTGGCACAGTCCGTTAAGCATCTGATTCTTGATTTTGGCTCAGGTCATGATCTCAGGGTCATGAGATGGATCCCCCCCCCCCCCAATCAGGCTCTTCGCTCAGTGAGGAATCTGCTGAAGATTCCCCACCCCGCACCCCCGCACGCTCTCTCTCAAATAAATAAAACCTTTGGGGGGGGCAAAAGAAAAGAAAACGGCACATTGGGGTACAGATGAAGCCGTTAAATAGCCTCAGCCCCCCCATCCCCCCCCTCGGTTTGTACTTATTCCTTCTCTTTTACTTCCTTTTCCATCTCTTTTTACCTGTGTCTTGGGTCTGCCAGTGGCACGTGTTATGTATTACTTATGCCTACAGGTATCACTCAAGGGAGAAGAGGTTGCTGGTTCCTTCTGGAATGTTCTTTTTCTTGGCTGTAAGCAAAGCTGAACAGAGGTGTCATGATATGACAGATGCTGCTTCCCGTCCCAGTTACGCCTTAACCTTGATGTTGTCCTGTGAGCATGTTATTAAGTTCTGAGCCTTTCTACCCCTCACCTATAAAAAGAGAGAGAGGAGACCATCTCCAGAGTTCTTTCTAGCAGTTCTCACTGAGGCATGTTTTCTTTCCCTTCCCTATGGTTTTGAATTGTGTTCTCTTTAATTTTAACCAGAGGCCCACCTTTGTTTTGTTTTTGTATGATAGCCTTTTGGCCACAACCAGTCCCAGCAAGACATTCTACAAGAAAATACTATTCTTAAAGCTACTGAAGTGCAGTTCCCGCCAAAGCCAGTGGTAACACCAGAAGCAAAGGTAAGTTGTGACCAGCAGGAAGTGACTGTATTACTTCTCTGGGTAATAGTGGATGGATTATCAGTATAAAAGTCAGGAGTCATTCAAAACCTCCTCCTTCTGAATCTGTTCGCCCCTCTCCTCCTACAATAACTGCTTCGGGTGCCTGGTGAGAACTAGGCCCTGTCAGGGTGGCAGAGAGGGAATAATGGTGAGTGTGTAGCAGTGAACTACAGATGGGGTCCCTGCCTGTCAGGAGTTTCTGTTCCAGCAGGTGAGACAAGCAATAACTAGCAACAGATCCATCTCAGATGGTAAAAAATAAATGCAGGTGAGAAGATGGAGGGGCAGGAACTCCTTTTTTGATGGCCTGGTCAGGGACGGCCTCAGTGGTGAAGTGACCAATGAGCAGTCTTGAGTGATGTGAAGGTGGGAGCCATGTGTAGATTTGGAAGACGAATAGTCCAAGCAGAGAAGTGCGTGCAGCTGAGATGTAAGTGCAAGCCTAGCAGATCCGCAGAGCAGGCAGAGCGGAGGAGAGGGTGGTCAGTGGGAGAGGCAGCCGGACAGATGGGAAACACTCGAAGGTTTTACTCAGGGCAGCTCTGTGATCTGATCCCTGTTTCAAAAGCCTGCCCTGGCGGCTGTGTGGAAAGAAAAGTCAAGGTGGAATTATTTGACCAGTAATTATGCTATCCAACTCGAGGTAACCCATTTAACTCCTGTTTCATATCTCACTAAGAAAGGTTCGTTTTTAAAGGCCAAGGATTATTAAGTTTATTTCTGTGAGTTTGTTTTTATCTTCCAAATACTTTAATCAGGCAGCTACCTCTAGGTGTGTTTGATTTTGGAAAAGCAGGATTGTTGCTCTACTTTCGGTTTTTATTAATTAAACATGGAAAAAAAATCATTACATCTTGTTTTAGGTGTTTTGTGTGTTTAACAGACTTTGTTAGACTATATTTTTATTTTTTTTTAAAGATTGGTTTTTCTTTTTTTTTCTTCTTCTAAGATTTTATTTATTTATTTGACAGAGACACAGCGAGAGAGGGAACACAAGTGAGGGAGAGGGAGAGGGAGAAGCAGGCTTCCCGCTGAGCAGGGAGCCCGATGCAGGGCTCGATCCCAGGACCCCAGGATCATGACCTGAGCCTAAGGCAGACGCTCATCAACTGAGCCACCCAGGCGCCCCTAGACTATATTTTTTAGAGCAGTTTTAGACTCCCGGCAACATTGAGCAGAAAATAAGAGAGTTTCCATGTATTCCCTGTCCCTGTACATGCACAGCCTCCTGCACCAGAGTGGGACATTTGTTATAATCGATGGACCTACATTGCGACATTAGCATCATCCAAATGTAAAGTATGGCCTGAAGGTGATAATGACATTTTAGATTTTTAAAAATCAATGTATTTATTTAAATAATTACAAGACTCTGATTAAATAGAACTGTCTGGTTAAAAAATAGGAAAAGATAGATCATCGTTTAAGGGCCCTTGTGATAAGAATTGTACAAACTGAGCCTGTGTAGCCCTTCATACCTAGCACAAAGGAAACTTCCATGTTGGTAGTAAATTAGGATTCTGAATGAAACCCAACTCAACAGTATGATTCTATGTCTGCAGTACTCTTGGGGAGACAAGTCCTGTTCAGGTTTTCCTTTACTACTTAGGTGTGTGCCTGATCATTGCAAGGAAGAACGAGATACACAGGGGAAGTGTACCAATCTGTGACACACTGTAGTGTTAGTAAGTGTGGGTCTCCTCACCCTGCCTGTGGTAGTGGCTTGTCATCGCAGTTTTCACTTCGTCAGGAAGTAGAAAGTTCACGTGAGGCCATGGTTTGTACACGCAGGACCGTGAAGATAGATGTGTCCGGGTAAACTGGCCAAGGCAGAGAGGGAGTGGTTTTTGCGTTGGTCTTTGTCCTCTGGGGACAGAGGTATTTAGAGGTTGGGTCATGCCCCATTCCCCCTCAGGAATGGCTCGGCCACGTCCTTCGGGGAAGTAGTCCGTGGCCAGAGAGAGGTGTGGCTGCCCATGCGTCTCCTTGCCTGGTCCAGTCTGGGTGTGCCTGGGGATTTCTGGGAAGGGCCCTGAGCCCCTTCTCTGTAGAAGACGTTTGCTCCGGGGCTGGGCCCTGGCAGCTGCTACAGAGCCTCAGGGTTCCCTCTGGGGGCACCAGGGTGATCTGCCTCAGGCTTCTTCAAGAACCTTTCCTTTCAGGCATTTATTCGACGATGCTTAGCCTACCGAAAGGAGGACCGCATTGATGTCCAGCAGCTGGCCTGTGACCCCTACTTGCTGCCTCACATCCGAAAGTCGGTCTCCACGAGTAGCCCTGCTGGAGCTGCTATTGCATCGACCTCGGGGGCGTCCAATAACAGTTCTTCGAATTGAGACCCACTCCTAGGCCGCGAACTGTTCAGCACACACAAAGTGGACAAATGGCATTCAGCAGCGGGTTTGGGACATAGCGAATCCGAATGGATCTCATGAAACCTGTACCAGGTGCTTTTATTTTCTTGCTTTTTTCCCATCCATAGAGCATGACAGCATCGATTCTCATTGAGGAGAAACCTTGGGCAGCTCTGGCCAGGCCTCGTAGGAAAAGGCCCCGCCCGAGGTTCCGGCGTCAACGGCCACTGCATGTGGCTGCTCTGAGTGAGGAAAAAATTAAAAAGAAAAACTGGTTCCATGTACTGTGAACTTGAAAACATGCAGACTCAGGGGGGGTCCCTGATGCAGTGCTTCAGATGAAGAATGTGGACTTGAAAATACAGACTGGGCTAGTCCAGTGTCTATATTTAAACTTGTTCTTTTCTTTTAATAAAGTTTAGGTAACATCTCCTGAAAAGCTTGTAGCACAAAGGCTCAGCTGGGGATGGTGTTTGACTTCGGAGGAAAAAAGTTGCTATTGCCCGTTAAAGGCACTAGAGTTAGTGTTTTATCCCTAAATAATTTCAATTTTTAAAAACATGCAGCTTCCCTCCCTCCCCCTTTTTTATTTTTGAAAGAATACATTTGGTCATAAAGTGAAACCCGTATTAGCAAGTACGTGGCAATGTTCATTCCAGTCAGATGCAGCTTTCTCCTCCGTCTGGTCTCCTGTTTGCAATCGCTTCCCTCATCTCAGCAGGGAAGGTGTCAAGTGGGAGGACTGAGGTGTGTGGGGCTTTGCCGTCGGACAAAGAACGAGGTTAGAAGCCCGCAGCTTGGAGTCTCTAGGTTTTCAACTCTTTCTTCACAATTTGAACACTTGACGGTTGTCCCTTTTAATTTATTTGAAGTGCTATTTTTTTAAATAAAGGTTCATCTGTCCATGCAGTCCTCTTGGATTCTCTGAATGCAGTAGCTATCCAAAAACTGTTCCAGAGGTAGGCAGAAAATGGGCCGGGGAGCCAAATGCTCTAGGGATCGGGAGGTCCTCCCCGTGGTCTCTGTGTGCTTGCTAGACGGTGTACCTTTCTTGTAACCACGATATTAAAACTTGATCAGCGCATAAGCTTTCCTCTGTTAGATCTTTTGGCAGGAAACAACCTCCAGCCCTCTACATTTTGTGGGTGTGTGCTGGTGTGTGTCTGTGTGTGCATGTGCACACACGCTTTGTCTAACTCACTTTAATAGATTGATCAAGTGAAGTTAAAAAAAAAATCCCAGGGAGATAGGTATTTCGAATATGAACATTCTTTTGGAACTCTTTTTTCCCCCCCTTACATTTGGTTGTTTCTGAGATGTGTGATCAACTGAAGACGGAGCTGAAATGGGAGATGCGTGGCCCCACTGTGCCCTTGAAGCAGCAGAGCACTCGACAGTAGAGAGGGGAGGAGGCCAGAGCCTGAGCATGTGGTAGCCAGCTTGGAATGTTACTGACATATGTGGCAAGAGGGCTGAGCCAGAAATATTTAAAGATGCAGCATCCAGGCATGTGTGTCCCCTGGGCAGGGGGAGGGAAGTCAGGAAGGCTAGAGAGCTCTCACAGAACTCAGAGTCTTTCTTTCACATGTGAAACGTGTCACCGGGGACACTTGCTGGCACCTGTGTTGGTTTTGTGCCCCGCCCTGCTCCCCTCGGTGCCAGGTGCTCTTAGGGAAAGATGGAGTTGGATCCCAGTTGGAGAGACGATGGTGGGGAGGTACCGTCTTGCGGAACTCTGAATGGAAGGAAGTCAGCCCGGGAGCCCTTGGCGCGCCCAGCTTTCCAAGTTGTTACAGATAAATTTTTTCTTCCAGATTTCCATTTTATCGCAGGTGTTTATACACGTGTTAACACGTGACATACGTGTGTATGTATGTGTGTGGTACCTTTTTCTAACCATGACTTTCAGGCTAGTAAGCAGAGAGTCCCTATGGGTCTCAAAGGTTGAGCGCCCTGGAAGGATGGTGTGTGGCATGCGTGAAGAGATGGAGGAGTCGAGACTGACTCAGAGTATTAAGTTCTATTCCTTGTTTTCTCTCCTCAGTCAGTGATCTTGCAAGACCTTTTTTTTTTTTTTCCCCAGCTTTTCTTTTTTTTAAGGTTGAAAGAATGCTGCATCTTTAAGCCTTCCCTCTAACTTCCTGCCTCCTCCCCCTGGGCTTGTAAGTGGAGCTGCAGGACTTTGTTGATCTACCTTTTCTGCCCTCCTGAAGAAGGGATGCCCTCTCTCCTTGCTTCCCTTGGGTCTAGGACCTCGTTGGAGCTGACTGGACTTAAGGCTTGAATCTGGGCAAGGCCTCTTTCCACTACATGGGCTAGCCCCAGAGAACATGCAGAATGCTGACTTTTTCTAGATTTTTAAGTAGCCAGTGAAATCACTAAGTGGGTTTCTTCCATGACATATTTTGTTAATATGGGTTTCACTTTTTCCAAGGATAATCCCTTATTGCCACAATTGATTTACTTTAAACAATGACAAAAAATGTGTATTAATTTGTAATTAAACCCAGCCAGACTGTTTTCGACTTTCCCAATTTGGGGTGGGGGGGGCGGGGAGGATATTAAAATAAGTTTTAAGAAGTGAATCTCCTAGCCTCTTGATTTTACTCTAGTTCTTCAGCTTCTGACAGGGCTCTGAGCATCTAGGGGGCGGGTAGGTAGGGAAATCCTGCTGCTGAGTCCCAGCGGACACTGCAGGCATGTTGGCAACGTGCCGATTCATACAACACCTTTTGTAGCTCCGATGTGCTGATAACTCATGCTTGGTGGGAAGACAGCAGTGAGCAGGATAGGGAGGGCCCAGCCGTCGGCTCACAGTCCAGGGGTGAAGGCTCTGGGCCCCAGGAAGGGAAGGGAAGGAATTGGGCTCCGACTTCTCCATCCGAAGATGGGCGGCTTTACCTGGAGACTTGATCTTGAGAGCCCGTGTGCACCCCATTTCTGTGGCTGACCCGGGCACACCTGCACACTGCCTTATGAGGGTTTGCTGCCTGCCTTCCTCTAGCGCTGTGAGAACAGGCTTTCCTTCAGCTGAGAAGATGAGCAGACAAGGAGCTCATGTGTTTCTTAATTTAGAAAATAATTCTCTTTAAAAGTAGTCATCTCTTAGAATCCTAGAGCTAGAAGTAAGCATCGGGTCCAGCTCCTCGCTTCTGAGAAGGTGAAGTTTACACCTAGCTTGACCCACCTTGGTGAGTTCTGCTTTCTGAGAATCTCTGCCCCTCCCCCCTCCCACTTAATCATCATTCCACTTGCCCAAGCTAGCTCTGTCTGTAATTAAAATCAGCCCCGGGGTAAGTGAGGGAGAGACATGGAACACACACTAGTTGAGGTATGGGGAGTCTCTGCTTCCTAAAATTAACTGTTCTGCTGTCATTTCTTAAGGCAGAATCACCTGGAGGTTAAGAGCCTGGGCTTTAGAAGTGGGTCTGATTCAGATCCTACCTCTGCAAGCTTCAGGAATAGCTCCTTGCATGGCTGTAAGGAGTGGAAATAGTAGGTATAATAAAGTGCCTCGCACGCAAGAGGGGAGACAAAAAGTGTGCTTTACAGAAAGATCACGAGATTCAGTAAGTAGGATGGCTGGGCCTGGACCTCCCCGCACCCGCCCAAGTGTGCTGGTGGCGATTCAGAGTCCTTCTACTTGCCAGGTGGTCAGGAGATCCTTTGGCCTGGGGGAAGTGATGCAGACCTCTCAGGAGCCTTCCCCTTTGACTTGAGATTCCCTATCAACCTTTGTCCTGTGAGGTCAGCGGTCTCCTCTTACCCGGATCCACGACTGCTTCTGGCTGAATCTGAGAGGAGCGTCTTATAGGCCAGTGGAGCTCCCAGGCCTGGGGCATCAGCATCACCTGGAACCTGTTAGAAATTCACGTTCTCAGCGCCCCCTCCCCCAGTCCGTCTCCCAGGCGCCTAGACCTAGCCCCCTGAGCGTCACAAGTCAGCTGCTGCAATAAGGGTGGGGCAGTTGGAGGGTGTGGCCATAGGGCCTTGTCTAAAACTTACCGGGCTGAAAACAGAGGAGTCGGTTTTATTTTCTGTGTTAGAGATAAAAATCTATCTTAAGCTCTGGCCTGTCCTGGGACCAGTGTCATGTGTACTTTCCTGTATGGGGAGCCTCAGGAGTGCCCGTACAACAGATCCCTTATACTGGTGCCTTGGGACCTAACAATACATTCAATAGTCATTCACTCCTTTGGGCAAAGCTTCTCACCCTTGACCTTCTTTAAAATACATTATCAACTCACCGGTACCTTATTGTGAATTGACTTAGCACTTTCTTCTTTTTTTTTTTTTTAACTTGAAGGGTCCAGGGCTGCGGGAGAGAGCTGTGACCTGGGTCCGACCTGGGTGGGCTTGGGAATACAGCCAGGCACTCTGAGTCAGGGGTGAGGGGAGCCTGGGACTGAGCTCTTCGGAAGGGGTGAGGGTAGAGAGAGCGGAGGGATTGCAGGGAGAGGAGGGTTAAGGAGGGAGTGGTGAGGGGCTCTGGCTGCTGTGGAGCTTTGCGGGTGGGTTGGGGGAACCTGCCAGAGGCGGGGACCTGGTGGGGGTAGGGAATACAAGAGCCCTTTTGTGCTGGGGTTGCACAGCAGGGGCCCGAGACAGGCTGGAGTCAGCAGAGGGGTGTGTGTGTGTGTGTGTGTGTGTGTGTGTCACTGGGCAGGAGACCCCCATAGTGTGAAGGGGTCAGAACGGCTGGCTGGTCTAGAGGGAAGTGCTTAGCTAGAGAACTGGGGTAACCCCAGCCCTCAGTAGCCTCCGGACACCTGCAGTTGGGGGGCACCGGGCGCAGTGTCAGAGTGAAGGGAAGGGCTCTAACACTGGTGCTTTGTAGGGAAGTTTCGGCTGTGTTGCTTCACAGCCTCGGGGTAGACAAGGTAGGAGTATCTCACTGATTCTGCAGATGAGGAAACAGTCCCAGAGAGATTTGGTAACTGGTAATAGGTGGAGCAGGATTGAATGGGGAGGGACTACAAGCTTGAAAATTTTGTGGAGTCTCTGAGTGCAGTCCTTGGGCAGCCTGCTGTGGGTGAGGCTGCGCCTTGGTTCCCAGTTGGAAGCTATCTTGCAGTAGTCTAGGGCTCTGCTCTCCCAGACTCCCTCACAGCCAGCCTTAGAAGTCTAGAGACCCAGCGGGAGACCCAGAGGGCTTGGGCCGCAGCCCTGCCTCTGCAGTCCTGGGCCAGGACTGAACTTAGGTAGGGAAGTGGGGGCATGGCTTCACAGAACAGTCATTCCTCAGCTCCCCTGCACAGTCTGATCGTGCCGTCTTCTTTACAGGTGAGGAAATGAAAGTCCTGCCCTACCCCAGCCCTGGCCAACTCTGTCTTCCTGTCCCTCAGTGTCCTAATGGACAGGCAGGAATGGCCCCCTCTACCTTGGCCGCCTCAAGTTGCTATAAGGCTTGGAGGGTTGGGAGACGTGAAGTTGTTTTTGGCAACTGAAAAAAGTAAAAGGCAGAGGGTGTTGCTAGATGCTGCCTTCATGTCACAGGTCCCCCAATAAGGGCCTTGGCCTATTCTAGAAGGAGCCCTTCAGCCTGGCTCTGGACTCTGAGAGAAGAGCAGCCACTGGGAAACATGGGAAGGAAGGTCTTTCCCTACAAATTAATTTCAGGAGCCATTGGTTCTTTACATCTACAGACTCTTTCAGAGCCCTGCTCACAACGTTAACACTAACCCGGCTCCTCCTCTCCACATTAACTAGACAGAACTGTATCCAGAACAAGGTAACAGGAGAGCCCCAAGTGCGGACTGTGTTTGAGGTCGTAACTCTGAACATGCTGCGTGGTTAGTGGTTAGGCTGGGTGCTCACGCTCTGAGCTACGATCGCCGGTTCTGTAAACTTCATGCACCTACTGAAAACACAGAGAGCCTTCTCTTTAGAATATGCTGGGCTAGGTGCTG